ACAGTTGTTCATGAAGAGCAAATAACGAAATGACAGAACCCAAAATAGTTCTTTCCTAAGGAGGTAATTAATTTTTCAGCTTAACATGGGCCAGGATGCCTTTGAGTCTCTCTTTATCTGCTGGACGCACGTGCATGTTTTGACAGAGAAGCAAGGATCGTGGCACAAGTCATATTTACAATTCCCACAGTTTGTCTAAGCTTTACAAAGTAAAAGCAAACAAGAAAGAATCTGGTCTCATAAACGAAAAAAAGAAACAGTTAGCCCAAGCTTTAAAAAACAGCACAGTTTATCATGAAGCCTCTACATTTGGCACTGAAGCACTCATGTCCAAAAATAATAACAGCTTATGAAGTCGTAAAAGTGAGACTCAAGTGGTACAAGATTGACTCAAATGATAAATGGCGAATGGTTTAACAGCTGAAACTGTAGAAAGGGGGTTGGGCTAACTTTTAGGAGGAGGGGGACTCCAGGTAGGCATGGTAACCCACTTAGGTGGGGTAACTCGCCTGTCCATATAATCTCTCATTTTAATTTGATCACGCCTACATGATAGGTGGGGTGACCCTTCAAGGTGGGTAGCCCGGTCTGCCACACCGGGCAACCCTTTCAACTGAGGTCAAATTTTGCCATGTCAACGTTTCAAGGTGAGGTAACCCAGGCTAGTCGGTGTCGGATTCGTGATACATCAAATTCGCGCAAAATTCACTTTGGCGCCTGGTGGCTTCACATAATTATTAAAGGTAACAATAGAAAGCCATAACACTGAAGGTTGCAGCAAGAGCAGCAAGTGAGCGTAGACGTGGTTTGCCAGTATTTTTCTTGTTTACGTGCTTAGCGACCATTCAATAATCTTGAGAAAGTGCACCCCAGGATGGCGGGGTTGTAAGATTGCATGTAAAGGAGGGTTTATGTTAACAGACCCTAAGTCTCAGGAACCGTGAAACTAGTAATGAACGGTATACCTAACCCGGGACCAGCTGTGATACTACTTCCATCTTCAAGAACGGCAGCATAGCAACCAAAGGAGCCATTATATCGGTGTAACACGAATATTACTGATTGCGGTTGTTTCATGCTTCTCGTTTTGTGACTTTTTTTGTGCTCGTTTTTGTCACCATCTCTAAATTTCAATCATGTTCAAAACACCCCTACTAACAAAATATTTCGTAAAGCTCTTTAGAATGACATTCAGCAATGAAAACAAGAGGTGACCAGGAGCCGATTTCTAGGCTCCTGGTGTGGCAACATAGGCATAAGTGAATGCAAAGTTTTGCGGTATGTAATCTGTCAGAAATCTGTTTGAGTGGTCAATTAAGTTGGGGCTGATGGGCCTCTTTATCATGACTACTCCATTATTATAAGGGACCAGGCCATAATTATTGTTGACCCTTGCTTTTTTGGGTATTTTCTGTAATTTTCCACAGTATTATTTTGTGAAAAGTTGGTAACTGAATTGCTCTTGAGGAATTCATGATCGTAAGATTTCATAACCACGGGGTATTCGCCTAATTGCATCAAACAAATTACATTCATTTTCATAAAATGATGCATCATTGGGTGGCTAAAAGAGGCCTTGTTCCTGTAACTTTCAGCTCTTCTGAAGCTAGTTTGTTTGTAAATTGTAACGCACGCGACGACCTTCCGTTTTTTTGAAAGATCGTATAGACCTACCATTAACACTCTGGTGCGAGGGCTCTGAAGTGAATGAGCTCCTTACGGGTGTCTAGGCATGGAGGGACCTCATACACTTCTTTTTAGATGAAAATGTGTAAAAAATAAAGAGTGTTAAAAATTCGTGGAGAGGCATGTTTTACAACCTCTTCCCCAGGGCTTAATAAAAAGGTAGAAAAAGGTAAAGCGACCATATTTTACGTCAGTAACTCGTGACAGTAATAATAACTGATAAACTTGAAGTTGACGGTGCGCTCCTTTTACCCCCCTCTCCCCATTAATGCTTCGTTTTAAGGGTATTTAAAGCTAGCCAAAGCTACACAGAAAGGAGAGAAGTTGAAATAAGGATGTGTTGACACCGAGGATCAAACTCGGGACCTCGCACACCGAAGGCTGCGCACTAGCCAATTGTGCCACCCTTGCTCCTCCTTTTCCCCCTGAGGACGAGGTTGACATGTATTAATCATCTCAAGGACAGGTTACCAACGAAGCAAATTATAATCTAATCTTAGCTGCACAATTACAAAGTGGGCGCGTTGTCAGTTACGGTTCATGAGGTCGTTCATGTGGCATGTCAAAACTTAACGATTCTATCGTTTAGGATGTGATACATCTGGGTTTTATGTTATTGTATGACATCTTTGAAAGCTGGCTTTGTGATCTGTTTAAATTGATATGTAATGATATTATCACTAGCAATAACCGCACAGTGAACACTTACCGTGTGGAGACTGGGCACTAGTCAGTATTATGTTCATGTAAACAACCAAACGAACTAAACATTACCAAGTTAAAAAGTTGAAAATTTGAAACAAATGTTTTTCGAGCCAAATCAAACAAGAAGAGTACTCACCACAGGGCACCCAATCCGCTATTATAGGTGAAAGTTACCCTCCCCCCTCTTTTATCTGTAATTCGGACAATTTGTGTGGGCACCCCCTCCAGTATTAATCTGTAGGTGCTAAGGAAGCTCTGTGCCAGATTTGACACTTTTGTCACGTCTGTAACGATCCGGCCTATATTTTGCACTAAGAGACCTGACTATACGTTTGCCTTGTGGATGTTTTGGGTGAAGTTGGATATTGTTTTATTAAGCCTTGAGTCTTTCCTCTGTGTGTTTATTATGTCTTACCTTCATGCTAATCCAGTGATCGGATCCTCAATCAAGGCAGTGCTTTCAGGAAAATTGAAGGGAGCCCAGTGCTCTGAAACTGTAAAATCTAGGGTGCCCAGCATATGATTTGTATGAAAAATCTGAGATTTTCTAGTCACCCAGTGGCCACGGGGCTCTGCTAGACCACAGCCCTGTAAATTTCTATATCTACAATCGGGGACAAAATTGTTGAGACATTCTCCTCAAATGATGTAACTTTGGAGAACAAAACAACCCATGCCCCTCCCTAAGGTCTCCGCTCATCCATTCAAAGTTGTCATGTTTGTTGTTTTCTACTAGGCTCGATTACCAGCCGCTGTTCGGGAAAATGAGCCCACACTCATCCCCGAAAGAGTAAAGGTGGGACAGAACTGACTATCGAATGTTTAACAAAGTTTTACAAACAGGATCTTCAGTTAATTTTTCTCCAACATCTTTTACTCGCCACATTTTCCTTTTCCTTTCAACTATGACGGCTTTCAAAGCACGTACTCCGATGTTCCACAGCAACAGACTAAAGTATTCCCCAGAATTTCTGCCGTCATTTTTAGGACAAGGAAAAACGAAACTTATGCCCGCATTGTAGAGGGTGTGAGGTCTATCTTTCCTTGTGCATGATCCACTAATACTAAAAATAGCTCTGATTGTCCTTAATTAAAACAGGGGTGTCACTGAAGCTTGCTTCCTGGGAGATCAGTTCGTAGAGAGAGCTAATGATAGCTTAATTTTTCTACACTTCGAAAGCAATTTAGTGGAGTAATTTGGTTTCTTTTTCACGGGCCCTCGGGGTGGCCCAGAGACTAGACAGCCGAACAGGAACACCTACTGCATGGCTTCTGAGTGTTACGTCTACTGCACATAGGGCGGGGTTTGTTTTTTATTTCATTTTCGCAAGGCTTGTCTGTCCTATCACGTTGCGAAGTTTTAACTTGAAACTTGAAAAACTCTCCTACGACGGTACCCTTTCGAGTCCTTTCGATATTGTTTGTCCTCTGTCACCACAAAGAACACCATGCTAGATGGAGCCTTTTAACGCCTGCAGAGGGTCTTGTTGGTATTACATGTTTCAGCTTGTAATTCAGTCAACAATGTTGAATAAAACGTGTTGTAAAGCACATATTATCAACGTTGCAAGTTAGCGGAGATCCTAGATTTTAAAGCCTGTTTGTTAATTCTTTTGCCGGATATGCTCTCTAACGGGAAAGACGTGGTGATCACACTTAACTGCGCAGACACCTAATTCATCTTTCCGACTAAAATCTGCGGGCCAAAAAGGCCTCATATTGTCGGATTACCATCATATAACATGAATGAGAAAATTAGGATTCTCATTAAAATCAGAAATTCAAAATTGACGATTCGGACCTTGATAAAACTTGGCCTGACTTTTTCAATAGGATGCTGTGTACACTTTGATATTCACTGAGAAAGTCTAACTAAAAATGTCGCGAGACAAATGACTTTCTAAGAGTATTATGGACATCATGCTTGAAATACGTACCTTAATCGGCTGAAAGGATTAATTTGTTCAAAATAGAGGTCGGAACACGTAGTATAGTGTCATAGCGTATGAAAATCCATTAAAATAAAAAAACCCTCAATATATGTGCTATATAGCGCGCAGGTGGTTCTGCTTAGACATGGGATAGGCTTGCAGAGTAGTACGCTGTAGCGTTCATTTCTCGAGATCGTGCAGGATCCCACGATTCATGTCTTGGAAGGAAACAAATTTGATATTTACTGAGTGATTCGAAGCATAGCTGCATGCACAGAAGAGACAGAATTTGGCAATTGGAAGAGTTTTGTTAAATTCAAATCAGGAAACAAAGAAACATGACTCTTCTTTATCTTCTTCTTCTTTACTCCTTCTTATTGAAAATTCTGTTAATTAAGTTGATTTAATCAAATAATAAAGTTATTAAAATATATAACTAAAAATCTCAGTCAGTATTAGTGAAAGCAGCACAATATAGCCTTGAAGGCGTTCAAGTCGAGGCAAGGGAAAATGGTCGTCCAGGACTCGTAACTAGCACTTGAAGATAGGCTATGAAAACTATCCTCTCAACCTTGCCGAAGTCAGAGCCATGAAAAGAAAGAAAACAAAAAAATGCCCTGCTCCCGGCGGGGTTCGAACCCGCGACCTTCGCATTGCTTCAGCACCCTCGGCGGCTATATGGCCGGTACTGCTTATAAGTACGACGCTCTAACCGACTGTGCTACGGGAGCTAGACGAAAACGCTCTTACTGCAGTTTTGACGTATTCATTGTGCTGACGCTCAATCGTTTTTTAGCCAACCGGAAGTGGACTCCTTGCACTCTTCGTCCCCGATTTTGAACAAATTCTTGGGCAAATAGTCTCTTTAAGAGTAAAGACACTTAGCAATACAAATTTGGTAGCGTCAAAAGGCGTCGCCGCTTAAACTCTCTAATTTCATATTAGGAGTACATTTTTTTTATCCTTCCATCGCGATTCAGTTTTTTTTCCACTGTTTTCCTATTCTTTTTCCTGTTGTTATTGTCCGATTATTTACTTCGGTTACTTATTTCTTGCGGTTGTCATCTGACGGAGAAGGGGCTGGAACGCTAAGTACCACAGGCTACCCATACGTCGGAAGCGGGGAAGATTAGCTCCCCAAAGTCGCGAAATTTTACTGACGTTTTGTAGGGGGCAAGGAGGTGTCCCACGCCATACAAACTTCAACAACATTTTGTCACTTCGCCGAGCTGTGATAAATACATTCGTTCTTTTTTAACAAATCGATCTTAACAACTCATTAGCCTGTTCCAGGCCAGGCATTCGGATAGTGAGCTGCGGTGCGAAGTAAGAGAGCTACCCCACCCCCCAGACTCGTACCCAGTCGTTATTTATGTGCTTTGGGGGTGAGAGAAATTAGGGTTAGGTTGAGGCCGGACTTGAGTCCCCAAGTGCAGCGCGAGCTGCAGCTGGGTCCTCCGTAAACCTCCGTATTGACCAACAATGTGCAACACAGGAGACTGGAACCGAATATTTTACAATTGAATACACTGCTGCTAAGCATTACGGGATTACGTAGCAGGAGTGTTGAAAATGGCGGCGGAGGAATGCATAACTCGTGGACCACAGAGATAGAGAATTTTCTTCAGTTCTACGCCTTTAACGAACGTCATGGCGTCCGCTGAGTGTGACTTAGAACTGGAAGATGGAGAAATAAATGATTTAGAGGACGGCGAAATAGACGAAGATATACTTCTGCCCACGGAATCGAACAACAATGTCTTCTCGCGCTTGGAACCACGTCAACATGCATATCCCGAGAATTCTAATTCTTACGGAGCAGTCAGGAGAGATTTTGTACATCACAATTTAGGTCCCTCATCTGGAAAATGGGAAACACACGGTGGTCCTATAACTCCATCACGGGGGAGATTTCCAAGAGGACGAGCAACTCTGCCAGGAGTCCTGCGAGGAGGAAGGGGAAAATCATCTTATCGTGGAAATGGACGGCAAGTGATGGGCCGGGGCAAATCTTTTGCTGCCAAAAGAGAAAATACACGTCAATGTATCCTTTTGTTCTTTTAAGCTGTACGAAAATGGAACATTTTTTCGCGTGGAGAGCGTTAAATTAAATTAAATTACCTTGGCAATTAAACTTAAAAAGTGATACACTTATTTGCTTCTTCAGCAAATAAAGGGAAGACGTACGCTTTCTTCTTTCAGTTTTAGTGCAATTCTGGGCATATTTCTTTAGGTTCTGTAGGTGACTGGAACAAGAATGTTATCCACTGTAACAGTTAAAAATCTAAAGGAAAGTAATAGTTGCATATAGTTAAACTTTTTAACTTACATTAGTTTTATTCACAACTGTCTTTGTCTCCTTACTCGAGTAATATTCATGATGAGTAATATTTAGGTTTAGGATTCAAAGGAAACTGAGTATTCAACAGTTTGACAGCTGGTTTTAAGCTTGCTGCATTGAAGGTTGAGCTCCCTTTCTCAATAGCATAGGAAGCGAATGACATCAGAGTGACTAATTTGCAATTTTTGTCTGAGTTTTGCTCTTTTTTTTTCATTTTAATGACAAGAGACAAACAGACATGACATGTTAATGACAAAAGTCAGACAAAAGTGAGGAATTTGCTAATGTTAATTTCAGTTCATTTGTCTGAGTTTCTGGTCTATAAATAGTAACTGGGCAAAGCGCTATTGTGATTAGGGTAGGGTTAAGTGCTGAAAACGATGGTTAGGGTTAAGCAATGACTCAAAATGATAAGCTTTTATTCATTGTTTGGTTTGACACCATTTGAAAGTAAAGGTGGTACCAAAGGCTAATTTGGGCATTTGTTTGAAAATTTTATTCTTGTGAAAATTTTAGAAAGGTTTAATAAAAATAAGTGAAATTTTATGGATGCAAGTGCAAGGTACATGTATATGTTTTGGAATATTGCATCCTCTTTTGGATTACTACTAGAGAATTTGTGGAATTTATAAAAATTTAGGATGCAGTCAAAATAAAATAGCCTTTAAATTTAAAAGGATTAAATAATATTCAAAATGAAAAGACACACATAAACAAAACCATAAAAGAAAGATTTACGCTGCAGTGTACCAAAAAATATTGAACTTGGACAATTTTAGCGGAAAACCAAAAAAGTTATACCTGGTGTGAATGCAATACCTTGCCACTTCCAAAATACAAAGCGGACTGTGGTGCACTGCACTGCAAATTTTCATTATCTTGTCTAGATAACGTGTACCAAGATTTGTGGAATTTGAATGAATCCTTGCAGAGGAAACTATTCAAAAATGCCAGCAATAAGCTTCAATTAAGAGGGTTTTTTTATTTAAAAAAAAAACTGCAATTTCTTTTGATTTCCATGCACTCGAACAGAAATTCGTGTTTGTTGACTTAGTCGCCATCTTGGAAAGGCCCGTAATATACTTTTCTAACTTAAAACACAAAATACTGCCCTATATGCGGTCATGATCGCGCTATTTGGCTGGCTATTTTTCCTGCAAAACCAATCAGAGGCACAGGTATAAACAATGAAACCTTTTGATTCACAACAATGTACTGCAGTGAAGTGCTGGCAAGTTTGTTTCTGTTCAATAGGGAATTTTCTTGAGTTCTATACAGTACAAGGAAACATTTGCCTTTCTATGGCAAGGAAAAGCTTTTCCGTCTATAACTAACATTATGGCAAATGATCAAAGACGGAAATTCTGCAGTTTCAGTAGCATGAAGTGCAAAAATGTACAATGCATCAGAGAACATGATCATGCATTTAATTTCATGGCTAGCACGTGTTTTTTTAAAACGTTTTAGATAGAGGAATTCATCAGACATTTACGGTCACGGTGCTATAATATGCAAATACAAAGTGAATTGCTCATATAACAGAAGAGTTTCTGATGCGTTATTGTTTTGCAATCATAACCAGATATTTAAACTGTCAAATTTGCCTGCTTCGCGATATAAATATTTTCTTAGCCACAAGTGTTTTTATAGCTCTCAGTTTACCACATTTTTCCGACGAAATTGGTCATGGAAAAGAAACTTTAGTTTTCACGCTTCAATGAGATCACCCTAAACTGAAACTTGGCACACAATGTTAAGAACTGGCTAGCTTCAAGCTGGTAGAAAATCACATGATTCTGAGATGGTCATGTTAGCCTGCAGTTCCACTTAAGCTGCAGAGCAGACTCAAACAGGGTGAAGTCGTAGGGAGGTGAAGGGGGCGAAACCAGCAAAACTATTGCTGTAGGTTAAACTGGTTGACATATTTGAATTTGAATTTAATTTTGGACCTACAACATAAAAACTGGTAAAGCAATGCTGAATTACTCCTCCAGTTTGTTTTCAATTCACATTGCAGAATACTCAGAGCCAGTTGTGTAAAACAATGTACAATTTCCTTGGGCTGAACATTAGAGGTGACCATTTTTATCTTACATTAAGATTTATGCTATGAACCCCTAGCCACTTTCTTACATGTCTTTAACTCATGATTGGCTGTATATGCATCTTTACAACAGATGAACAAATTTCACAACCAAACTTTGTAAACAAAATTCTTTGCATTTGTATTCTTTGTGCATGGGGGTTTCTTTTTAACTCTTGTAAAACTTTGCAAATTTGCAATTTCAAACAGGCTTGGTGGTGAAATTTCCACATCTGATGTAAACATGCATAAGGACTATAAAATGTGCCAAGTATTTTATACCTTCTTTTTCAACCAATTTCTTTTACATGTAAACGAAATGTTGTGGAGTGGCCAGGTACATGTATTGTGCGGCTACTCCTTACTCCTCAAAAGCACACTGTGCTCCTTTCAAGTTTGGCCATCTTCTATTTGATTACTCAAGAGATCCTGTCACTTAAAACTTTTTATTTTTGTTTTTCTTTTGTAAATGGTATTACAGTGGAACCTTGAGTTGATGAACCTCTGTATAACTAAGTACATTTTATAATTAACAATTATTCCTTCGGCCTCATGGGCTTTTGACTCAGAGCCCATTGGGGCTCGAGGAAAAATTCTTTTTGTAAAATCCAACTAGTTGGTCAAAAATATAGAGACAAAACAACTTTGGCTAGTAAAATGCGATTCAGCCGCCATTGTTTTTGTTTTCAAAGCCGGCAGTTTTCTCTACTAATGGGCTATAACATATAGCCTAGTAGTAGCTTAACCAATCAGAACGTAGCATTGATAATAGACCACAAGTTGGATTTTACTAACTAATGATATTCTTTACCCCAGTAATAGTAAAATATATGAAAAAAAACTTTGAAATAACAAAACCGTGTTATAGCAGACATATTTTGCCAGTCCCTTGGCCCTTTTTTTATATCGATGTTCTGCTGTAAATAAAATGATGTAATTAGCACTGTAACGTCATTTTGCTGTTCATGGATTTCTATACCTCTATGAAACTATAGCAAGCTACATGTATCACTTTCTGTCCCATACAGCTGTACATGTATACCCAAAGGAAAAGTTAATTATAGACATGTTTCACTGATCAAAAGTGAAAGTTATTTGAAGAGCATCTTACCATAACATCTGGTTTAGGAGGGGCACATTTGGTTTTTCAGTTTCGAAGATTTTTCCTCTTTTTGCTCTTACCTGCTTTTCTAGTGTTTGTCAGTTCCCTTTTGTGAACTTGTGGTTTTCAGTTTTTGAAAGAAACAAAGACTAGTGTTTTTTTCCTGTTTGCCTTCTTGCCTTTGTTTGTACATTTAGTTCTGCTAGAGGGGAAGTGTTATTATCAAGAGAAGGCAAGCCCTAGCCTTGCAGTAGCCCAAAGGATGGAGTACTATACCCAACTTTAGAATGGTTTATTGACCCTTAAAGCCCCACATCAACATACATTTCATTCAAGAGGTATTTGAGAAGTTGATAACAGATAAAAGCATTTTCCCCTTGGTTAACATATTAATAATTCTCAAAGCTGTTTTTCTTGATGATAATTATATGAATACTGTTGTAATTTGTATGGTTCTTAACATAAATAACTTAATAACAGATTTTTTACAAAGACCCAACTTACCTCATTCTCCTTCTGTGGAGAGATCTCGTGGACCATATCCTCAGAAACGAGGACCAGGTTATACTGACAATGAAAGATTAAGACAAGCTTCTTCTCAACCTGAAAACAAAGCAAGAGCTCCCCACCTTGATGAAAGGTGGCATGGTCACGGCTACCCTGATACTGAGAGACCGAGGTTACCCCATCCGCTTCTGAACGAAAGACAAAGGCTGCCTCTCATGGAGTTGGATGAGAAGTCATGGCCTTCTTATAACACAGGTGTAGATTCAATTGCTCCTGCACCAGATCAACAATCTGCAAGAATGGAGTCACCTTTAGATGAAGAAGAAGTTGATGATTATCGGATTTTGCTGCAGCGCCATCGTCTTATTCAGCAGCAGCTTGCTGCTCTTGAAAAACAAGAGAGTTCAACTTTGGAAGAGGAAAACATCATTGATGACACTTTTATAGATATTCCAGTTGAAGACACACAGCCAGATCAGTCTGTTGTCAATGAAGGAAACCTTGAAAGTTTTACTTATTCAGTTGTTGAAAGTCCTGAAAGAGATGAGGTTATGAATCCTCAGCAATCAAATCTGAATCAAAATCTCACAAATGTTGTAAATATTGGTGAACTTGAAAACTCTGAACAAATTGATGATCTATTTATGAGTGGAAAGCCAGAGAACTCAAACTCACCAAAGCCATTTGTGCCATTTAGAATTAAACCTCGCTACACTGGCGTTCCATCAATAAAAGAATTGAGCCAAAAAGACTTGGAGCTGAGGGGAGCTAAGGAAGGCACCCCAACTGCCGCAGACAGTATCAATGAAGGGAATCAACTTTTAAAAGAAAACAGTCAAGCCCCCTCACAACATCGTAACAGAACTAGAGGAAAGCTCTCTAGAGGTCGCAAAAATAGAAAGAGAAGAAAAAGAAATTTTTCTCAGGGTGGAAATCAAAGTAACAGCGCAATAGACAATCAACCTTCGGAAAAAGTTGGCTCCAATCAAAATTCACACGTTGATCCTCATAATGAATTAGAGGCAAGATTGATGAGTTTAGCAGGGAGCTCTGTTCCAAATCTTGGAGGGACCGATGAGAACAGGTTTGTACTGAGCAAATTTTAAGTTTTTACTTCAGTATTTATGATTCATATGGTGCTCTAACATGTATACAGTGGAAGCTCACGTAAGCAGACACCCTGGGCACGCAAGAAAGTTGTCAGTTACTTGAGCTGGCTGCTTACAAGAATGGTTCTCATTAGAGGCCACTAGAAAAGTAAGGGTTAAGAGGCTGCGTATGGGAGCTTGCCCAACTGTAAATAAATACAGTGTAAACACTGGAAATGCAAAAAAACTGTTTGTTAGTGTTTGTTCTACCATTCTGACATTGTATTAAATCAATCACAAGCATAAAATTCAAGTGGTGTTTTGAAGTGTAACTGGTCCTGTACATGAAAAAAATAACAAATACTAAAACTGATATAAATCCCTTGTGACAAACAGCAATATTAAGTTGATACAGTAAAATACAAGATTCATAGGAGAACGAGATTTCATTTCTGCATCAGGTGTCCCCTTACGGGAGCTAAAAAAAGAGCTAAAATCTAACTCGTAAACTGTGAAAGTGACCACTGCTGGCTAAAGGAATTGTCCACATATAGGAATGTAAGAATGCAGAGTTTATTTTGGAATTGAAACAGAGTTTTGTGAAAGTGGCGGTAAGTAGACTAGCCGCCTAAGTCTGCTTGCAAGAGTGCCCATTTACAGAGCTTCCACTGTATAAACATTGTTTACCATATTAGTGGAGAAAGAGTTTATGTTTCTGGTGAATGAAGATCCAATTCCCAAGATAGAGAAACTTATTATACTCAAGCTTTTGATTCCGTCATGGAGTCTTTATCAAGTGATGGAGTCGGATATTTAATTGTTGTTAATGTGTCAGCATGTTGATAGCAAGAACCAGGCTTTGATTTGTATGCGCATTCCTTTGTTGTTTGTTCCAGGCAAGATGTTGACTTCAAGAAACAAGAAAGGCGTGAGAAAGTGCGGCAGTGGCATGAAAAGATGAATAAAGCTGGATTTTCAGATCAGAAAAGTCAGCAAGGAAATAAATTACACCCTAAAAAGAAACCAGCCAAAGGGAGTAAAAGAAGTGCAACTTCACAAAGTTTAAAATCAAGTGAAAGTCAGCGCGCAGACAGAGATTTGCACAGAAGGAATGTTGTCAGGTTTGACAATGATGACTATTTTGAAATACCCATGGATGTTGAGAGTGATTCAACAGGTAATGCAATAAAATTTAGTTCAAGAAAAGATGCCATTTGTACAGATTTTTTTGTTTTGAAATTGATTATTTAAGCAATGGAAAATGTTTTCCTTGTTTGCATAGCCTGATATAAACATTTGAGGGTTGGGAGAATTCTAGACAGTCAAGCAAACCCAAGACAAAGTATGAGGGTTTGCACAACTGTCGAGAATTCTCCCAACCCCTTGAGTGTTTCTATCAGGTTATGCAAACACAGGGAAAAAAGTTTCCTATTGCTTTTATAAAACAACTTTTCTGAGGAAAAAGCAAAACTCTTTGTTTATGCTACTGATTAAAAGAGAAATTCTTACCAGTCAGGAAGTGTTGTACACAAAGTTTTGTACTCATAATCAGTGCTTGTTTTGCAAAAAAGATGCTTTCCAAAATACAGATTTTTCTCATTTAAGATGTCAGGTTAAGTGGGAAAAAATTTGACACAGTGCATTTCTAAAGATTTTCCAAGTTTCAGCCAACAAGGAGATGGGTAAATAAAGAAACTTGTCTAGTTTTCAACTCAAAAACGTTTTCAAATTCGTGCTTGCATGATTACTGAGCGCTCGGCTAAACATCTTGACATCACAACCATGTTTACATACTCTCTCATGAACACACCTCTCAGCCAATCAGAATGCTCCTACTATCTTAGTTATTTTATAAAATTTATTCTTGTAGCTGTAAATTTGTGATGGACAGTGATTGATATGTGTAGAATTTATAGCGCTCACTGATGACCAAGATTTCGTGCAGGGATGTCACTAAGATTTCAAGTTGCTGGGTAAATAAAACAAGTAGGCGCGGAATCAGACAGCTAGGGATTTTTTTTGGTTATATTTTTCTTCTACATGTATTTTCCTCTGAAAGTAGCCAGGGTCACATTAATTATTTTATAGTAGCCGCGGAAAAACCCTGGCCCCCACCTCTTAATGATGCGTTGTCATGTTTAAATTTAGATGTAGACTTGAATTTTTAGTTCATTTTATTGTAGTCCATAACTTAAGTTAAACTCTTTTAGGCTAGAGGGGGGTGGGGGACTTTCCCTCTTAGCTATAAATCCGTGACATCATCATCATCATTAATATCCTCATTATCACTGTTAAAATTCTCTCTCTTTTTTTTTTCTTTTCTTTACCGGACTAGATGGTCCTGCTCTTCCACTGATTGAGGAACCAGTTGAAGATTTCCCCCCACCTCCGCCACCATTACCCAACGGTGACTCAGGTAAAAATAGCTTCTCTCTATGTCTTATTAACTGCAGTTGATAAAACTGTAGAGCTAATGCATCAGACATCCAGCCCCCTCCTCCCAAACTACTGTGGGCATTTGCCTACCTTGTCAGTGTGTAAAAAGTGACACAGCAGTCTTGTTTTTTTCTTTTCCCCTTTCTCTCGTCCCCTCTTCTTTTGCATTTCTTGTGCCGGGCATTTAGTAAGTCTCACTTTGGTGGGAAAAGTTTCTGGGCATGTTTTTGGATCTTAGGATTAGATGAAAGGAATGGTATGTGGGTAGTGGAGCAAGATTTTCTTGGGTCAACATTGCATAGTTTTTTGCCTTTTTCTCCAGCTTCCTTGACTGAATCATGCTCATTCTGGTACATGTATGGTTTGAAACCTCTCGTCACCCTGCTCAAGTTAGCTGACAAAGTTGTCCCTGACCATTAAAACTGTTGATGTCACATATGGTAGAAAGGAAGTGGATCTGCATGGGCAGTTCAAGGGTGAATGGGTTAATTGATCTATAAATTTTTGTTCTAGATTCTTACAGCTCATTATTTTCTGTTATCTTCTCATTTTAACAGCAGTCCCTATGTACGTGGTGGATCAAGCACAGCATCCTCTACTGGTAAGAACAGACCCTCCTAACCTAAATAAAAGTTACTCATACTGATATACCTAGGTTTACAAGTCTTGTCTTGTATATCTGCTACAAGAGTATAAATACTTTATGCATAAATACTTTTGCATAAATACTTTTTCAGTTTGGTACATTTACCTTAGTGCACAAGAATTACCAAGTGCATCATATTTGTTAAATTTAGTTATTATTAGTACATGAACTTTGCATGCTGTAGGGTTATCATCCAAGATGACAAATAAGTCAAACAATTTTATCACTCACTCAGCCAGATACACCAGCTCTCCAGGGTACAGTAAAACTGTCCAATTTTTGTCCAGTAATTATTGGACAGTTTTCCTATTTTTTTAAAGGAAAGTCGTGAGTGATAAATTAATATCCAAATAAGATTTATCCTCGTCAGGCAGTTTCTGATAATCAATTTGATAATGATATTATTATTACAATACAGTGTATGTGACAGGAATTCACTTTAAGATTAGCTGAACGCAGCTTGATTTTAATCTCATTCTCTGTTTTTCGTTCAGATGTACCCACCTACAGGCTATTTCCAAATTGATCAGGTAAGGGGAATAAAGAAAAGCTTGTGCTGTCAAGGTTTTTTTTTATCCTACAGTGCTTAAGATCTTACTTGTAATTCCCATGATGGAATGTTTCAATGGGGCAGGAAAGCAATTCTTGGCAATGCATAGTGGAGCATGCAGAGTAGTCTGCTACACAGCCGTTTATTGTGTTGTCACGCAACATGACGCCACATTGAGGCATCCGATTATAAACCCTCTCAGATATATGCTTCTTTTATTGATTTGATTTATTATGATGTTTTGAAGCTCAATTAGAAACCAGTAAATGCAAAACCTATCTTATTCAGCATTGCTATGGCTTGTTCCAAAGTGTTTTTACTATTCTGGTTATATTCCCCCTCAGATCTAAGCCCTCCTAAAACCCTTTTCAAAGATGTATAAGCAGCAGGTACTGTATAAATTATCACAAGAATCATCATGGTCACTCACTGTATCCTGTCCCACCTTTGATCATTGACTGTCTTGAATCTGCTTTGCTGTTAAATCCAGATGAATGTTGGATGGGAAAGCAAGTTTGAGAAAATATGTAACTCTCTCTCAAATCCCAAGAACGCGCATCCTTTTTAAAATTTACACAAAATCATATGTGTCTCTTCCGTTTTTCTGTCCCCCATTTTTATTTTGGTTCTTTAGAATTGTTTTTTGTTTATAAAACCGAGATATTTTGGGGGGGAAAAAACATTTGAAAAAATATGTTATTCTCTCTCTAAACCCCCCCCCCCCCCCCCCCCCCCCACCTGTTCTCTTTTTAAACCAAGTCTCAATGCAAGTCATTCCATCATTCATTTTTCTTCTTAATTTTCTTTTAGAAATATCCAGAATGGATGGCTGGGCCAGTGCCATTAATGTCACAAGGCCCCAGTGACCAGCAGTTTGGATATGAAGGTGCACAACTGCATTTTGTCATTAGTCTTGCTTGCTTTAGCTTCGAAACTCTAAAAATGCAAGCCTTTCTGTTTTCTTTTTTTTTTCGCTTGTGTTTGTGCCAAAGAGAAATCTTGGTCCCACGCATTGCTAGCGGAGACTGTGGAAACTGGGGATAAGAATCGCATCATGATGAAAGCTATGCATAGAAAGCTGTGAGAGATGTCCAGCTTTTCTTGAATGGGTCGGTCCACGAATTCTATCACTTGAAAGTGTTGATTACTTTGGAACAAGTGATTACTTCAATGGTTGAAAAAAAGAAGAACATTAATGAGCCAAACGTTGATGATGAGGCTAACTGGTTGGGTGTTATGAACTTTCATTGTATGTAAATAAGTCTTGTGATGAGTGTGCAGTTTAGTTTTGGCGATGATTGAAATGACTTGCATTTCATCATGTTTCCTTGATTTTGGCGTATTTAAACACTCGTTCAAATCAGTTCAGAAACAAATTGAATACAATATAAAAAGTAAATGTCCTGAAGAATACTCGAGCGTTGATAAAGTCAGAAGTGAAAAACTTTTAGCAAGGAAATCCTGTTTTATGTAGAATTAGAGCATGATTTTACTTTTTTGCTCCCACGCATGGCTCTAAGGAAAGAAGGATGACCGCTCTTGGTCTAATCACCTCCTCATTTCTTATCTTATCTCCAAGCAAGCAAGACTCAACGCTTTTAAGAGTGTTCTTGTTTGTCATTAAATTGAGCCAAGCACCTTGTAGGTCTTCAGTGTTACACTGGCTCTATTTGCGTGAATGCCAAAAACGGTTTTGAACAAAAAAAAACTATTCAGTCACCAAAGTAGTAAGGAAGTTTGGTAGAGGCAGTTTTTTACTTCTCCAGGGCCCCTTCTCATTGATGAAGCTGTTGTGGTGCTTGATTTTTGGTGATAACGCTGCAACATTGTTCCATAGACTGAGGGGGTCAGTAACTCTGGTTCCTGAATCATGTGCTGTCCAATGGAAGATACTGGTCACCCCAAAGATTTTGCATTTTACAGAACAACAATTTTACCGAGCGTCATTACCAAAATGCAGCTTCAAATCAGGGACTCTGTAGTTTAAAGGAAAAAAATGCACTGTTTTGATGTGCCAAAAGAGTATTATTTTATCTGGTTATTTTGTGTGAAAGTCACTCTGCCTACATCTTAAAAGTTGCTGTTAATTTTTTTATTTTGGTTAATTTTTGTTTTTCCTTTATTTTTGGGTATCGTAATGTGTGCTAACGAATATGAAACAAAGGAAAAATAAAAATTGCCTGAAATAAAAATTAACGGCAACATCTGCATTTTTATATATAAGAGAAGTGCCATTGCCACATGTTAATACAGTATGTAACACTATTTGGGGATATATGTCACTTTTTTCAGAATTTGCTAGACAGACAGATGAGTTGGAGCAAAATCATGATCATGAGCAGGGTCATGGCCAGGACATGTCAAGTCAGGATAATTCAGATGATGACGATGATGAAGCCACGCTAAGAGAACAGCTTCTCAAGTCTTTGGCTGTGAAAAGAAAAGCTAAACTGGATGTTGGGGTAAAATATGTTAAAATAAACTTATATCTTGCACAAATGTACAATGACCTCTATGTACAATATCAAAATTATCAGAAGCAAGTTTCAGTTTCTTTGATTTTTGAATCCCTTGAAATCCATTAATTCTTGCTTTTCCAAGTATAGAATTTTTTTTTAATAGTGGTAATAGGACTGAGTTTAGTCCAATTCAGTCTGTAATCATACAAGTGATTTACAAACTCAGATGACCACATAGCAGGAGTCTGATTTGTTTAATCATTAATCACGAGTATGATTACAGACCGAATTGGACAGCACAAAGTTCTGTTAACAATTAATCATAATTATAACAAAATTTATGATATTTTAGGCTTTTTTGAATTAAAGGGGCTGTGTCACTGCAGTCCAGTTCATTTTGTTTAATTTTGCCAATTACTGGCCCTCAATCGCTCTGGAACTTAAAGTAAGCAAAGAAATTACATGGAAATGACAAAATCAGAGATCCGAGACAAACAAATATGTCTCCTGAGCATTATTTTTGACGTTGCAGGCAGCAGGGACCAACTTTGAAAAACTGTCAGGCTGAACAGTTTTTAAAAACCCTAATTTCAATCCGTTTCAATCTTCCTCAGTTTTGTCCATCCGTGGCATCTGTTGTTTCTGTTATGTTGTTTTAACCTTCCTTTAAAGCTTTAAGCAGTTATTTTTGTGTTTCTCTTAATTTAACGGGCATTTTGTAATTTCCTAATTTGGCTGAATTTCGTGACGCAGCTCCTTTAAAACACAAGAAATTCTGAGATTTTCTTTTTGTTACCAGTAAAAAAGCCTTTAAAGTGCATGCATGTGACGATGCATACTGTTCAATTACTTAGGCATGACCTGTACTGTCCTATTACACTGTCCTATTAGTGTTGAAATCAGGACAGTTGATAGCCAATCAGATTTGAGAATTTTGTTATAGTTATGTCTAGTACCATAATAATTGCTTCTACTTTCTCATACTGAGTTCAAACTGTCATGGAAATTACTGTCAACAAAACGATTGTGATATTCTGTGAAACAATTTAATGTTGCATTAATTTTCTTTTTTAGAAGGAAACCAAATCTTCTCCAAAACAATCCAGCAGTTCAAGTTCACGTGTACAATCACCAACTATGGTGGCTAACAATGAACAACAGAAAAAGCTTCAACAGAATTCTCGACAGGTATAATAAGTTATGGGTCTTAAGCCGGCAATCAAAGGCTTCAGAATTTCCTGTGAAAATGTTTTGATATTGCAGTCTTGCATCTCTGCTGCTAATCACTGCAAGACCCTTTTAAAACTTTTGAAGATTGGCAATTTGAAGCAATCTTCACTTATTCCCCTTGAAATTGAAATCAGACTGTTCAAAAAACAATAACATCTCTTGAAAATTAGCCTAATTTTTCAGTTGTAATCCATGTGAATGTCCACCTAAGAACGGTCTTTAATGCATAGTTTACTGTTATTCTGTATTTTCTTCTTATTTTGAATATTAATACTTTTTTGATATTTTCTTCAATCTTAGAATAGTTTTTAACTGTTTAAAACAAAAATGACTCAAAATATCTTGACAGAGCCTCTTTAAGGTAAACATGCTGTAAATGGTAATCAACTTCTGCGTTTGTTTTCAAGGTACATGTATAAGTGCATTGTTGTTCATAGCTTCCTTACGGCGATATATGTTTAGGTCCTCAGACAAAAATGAAAAAAATGATAAATGGAAGATAACGGAATGGAAGTTTGACATGACAACTCTTTCAACTTGACCTCATTCATTTTCACAGGTGTCATTTGTTGCGCCTCCTAAGCATGAGCCGGTGGTCATAAAGCTGGGAGAGGATTCAGATTCAGAATCAGATCGATCTGATGCCGAGTCTTCAAAGAAAAAAGTCTCCAGCAATAAAAAGGCAGGGAATGGTTTATTTGGAGGACTGGAAATGATGATCAAAGAGGCTAGAAAATCTGCAGAGGTAAGCAGAATACCAATAGTATGGAGTGACTTACACACTGTTGTTTCAGACTTCTATTATAGCATGATTGCATGGTACACAATGTTTTCTTCCTCTGTATCATACAACTGTACGTGCACAAGGCTGTGCTCTATGAGAAATTGAAGGGAGCCCAGTGCTGTGAACTTGTGAAATCCAAGGCGCCCAGCATATGATTTGAGTGAAAAAAGTAAGATTTTCTATTAGCCCAAGAGCAAAAGTTAGGCACCACAAGCCACTGGGTGCTGCAAGAGTACAGCCGAAGAGTCGAGCACTGCTATCTGGTATGATTATCATGCCTGCTCAAAAGCTATCTGGTACAGCTGTATAGTGTGAATATACCGTAAAATTCCGAAAATAAGCCAGAGGGCGTATATTTTTCAACAACGCTTATTTTTGGAGGGGCTTATATACAGAGGGAAATTTGCACTTTAAAATTGTTTAGGCTAGCTAGCCTTATAGTTGGAAGTAAATTTACCATTTTTGCTTTGTTTTACTTTGTATTTGAGGTCAATTTTCCAAGTACAAGCCCCCGGGGGGGCTTATATTTGGAGGGGTGATTTAACGGAGGGTTTTTTGCATTACCGCTTTGGGGGGGCTTATATTTGGAGGGGCTTATTTTCAGAATTTTACGGTAGCCTTAGTTTAGCAAATTTTTGGAGGACTGTGACAACACTTTTTGCATATTGACAAATTTAAGTCCTTGAGCATTATAATTTGCCACCAAGTCAGCGCTTTTGTCTTCAAAGGTCTGGCACGCTGTCATTAACAGGCTGATTTAGCAACAGTATGGGAATGTCAGTTGACAACGGCACACTCGAATCAAAAAACTGGCTTGACCAATGATAGAGCCTCAAATTGAGAAGAGGAAGTCGAGTTTAGTCCTTTCTGCGCGCTTTCCCGTTGTCAAATGATCTTCCTGTTCTGTTGCCAGTTCAGCTTAATATTGAGACAGGAATGCTTACTTGTATTTTTTTCTCAATTTTCAGGCTTCCAAGGTAAAAAGTAACGCAGATGCGGAATCATTACAAGATGACACAGGTAACCCATCCAGAACAGACCTGCCACCTGAACCCAAGACTCCTGATGCAATGGATCATATGCCTGAGCAAATGAAAACTGAGTACAGAAGGCTAAAGGAACAGTTAGCCATGCGTGAAAAGACGAGGCAGCCACTTGCCAATGTTAACCAGGAAAAAGGTACTAAAATAGTTTATATGTTGTAGTTAGTTTTTCATTTAGGTAATTGTTTCAACTTCGATGTGAAGTATATGAAATAATTCATTTTTGAACTCCGGTTGTAGATGAAAGTCAAGAATGATCACAAGGCTGTGCTCTAAGGAAAATTGAAGGGTGCCCAGTGCTCTGAACCTGTAAAATCTAGGGTGCCCAGCATATGATTTGTATAAAAAATTTGAAATTTTCTGGACGCCCAGGAGCAAAAGATGGGTGCCAGAGGCCACCGGGCTCTGCTAGAGCACAGCCCTGGAATCATTGCAGTAAATTTTCCAATTTAAGCAATTGAAAAGAAGAAGCCTGAAGAAAATCAGGGCTTCAACGGGATTCGAACCCATGACCTCCGCGTTGCCGGTGCGTTGCTCTACCAACTGAGCTATGAAGCCACACATTGGGAGCGAGGTCAATTTATTGAGTTCATATCTCCCATGAGGAGTGAAATGATGTGAAGTATCTGAAATAATTCATTTTTGACCTGGGGTTGTAGATGAAAGTGAAGAATGATCATCGCAGTAAATTTTCCAATTTAAGCGATTGGAAAGAAGAAGCCTGAAAAAAATCACATCATTTCACTCCTCATGGGAGATATGAACTCAATAAATTGACCTCCCTCCCAATGTGTGGCTTCATAGCTAAGTTGGTAGAGCAACGCACTGGCAACGTAGAGAAAAAAATCAGGGCTTCAACGGGATTCGAACCCATGACCTCTGCGTTGCCAGTGCGTTGCTCTACCAACTTAGCTATGAAGCCACACATTGGGAGCGAGGTCAATTTATTGAGTTCATATCTCCCATGAGGAGTGAAATGATGTGATTTTTTTCAGGCTTCTTCTTTCCAATTGCTTAAATTGGAAAATTTACGGCAATGATCCAGGGCTGTGCATACATTATTAGCATACATTATCGTACCCAAAAACAAAACAAAAAATAAATTACCTGAGATAAAAAATTAACTACAGCATTATACTTTATATAGTCAAACCCTCCTTTACAGACACCCACTTGACCCTTTAAGTCACAATAGTGACCAAGATCAATTTTCTCCTAACAATATCCATACATCGTCAACAGATAAGTTATGAGAATTAATAAAAATAATGATCACCCAAGTAAAAAAATTCCTTGATCTTTTATCAAATTCTCTCAACTCATTCTTTAAGGAAATGTATGGAGATCAGTTTGGAGAATTTGTATGTGAATACTGGGGCTTAAAGGGTTAATATGGGCAATTCATTATTACGGACAGTTTGCCTTGCTTCTGGGGAAAGAAAGCCTTTACATTTTCTCTAAATTCAACCCACTTAATATGGACACCTTCTATGGCCCCCTCAGTGTTTATATTGACATGGTTTGACTGTACCTTCCTACCCTCACAAGTACATGTCTGGTAAAAGGCAATACCACCTTCTGATCTAATATATTGGTACCTGTGAAATTTTCTTCTCCTTCTACTTAACGTTTTCCAGGGAACCCTGTTTTCAAGTTTTTGAATCTCTGTTCTGATCATAAATAATTATTTGTTATTTAATACAGGAGCATTGGATTTGATTCCATCACTTTTAAGAACATGCTGTTCACGTAAAAATCTTTAGCATCTTTACTTAGGCATTTTGTTTGCTTTGTAAAGAAGTTAGAAAAAAATCTATGGTGTGGCTCAAAATCTTAGGCAGCTATCAATGTGCTTCAGGCAACTATTACATCTATAAATTTGTTCTCTTTTTTTGTAGAAGATAGTTGTCAGATATTGGCATCTGAAGATCAAGCCGAAGATTCCATGGAAGATGACAGTAGCCACTTACAAAAACTCCACAGTTATGTGACAGAGTGTGAAGAGAATCTGACCAAGCACAAGTAAGCTACTGACTCAAACATTAAAATTCAGTATCTTTCTGATGTTAAAACTGATTGTCAGACAGTTTTAAGGCCATATTTTTTTTTCTGACGGCCATTAATACAAACTGTTATTACCATGCCCTTACTTTCTCCTTCTGTTTTAAAAAATTGTTTTCACGTCTTGCAATAACGGCACTTTATAACTTCCTTTCCTGGAAAAGTACAGTTTTGTTTGAATGTTTCATTTCAATCCTATAACCAAATTACAGTTCCTTAAAATTAACTTAAAACAGTTCCCTTTAGCCTTCATGCTAATGGGAGATATGCCCGTAGACAGCAAAGAAAATAAAGGTTATAGAAAAAAAGGATGGTGATGGATAGTGTTAGTCACTAAATAAATCACTTTCTAGCGTTTTTGGTCATCTTGCCACCAACAAAATCACCACCAAGAAGTCTACTTCTTTAACCCTTTAAGCCCCAATATCCACATACAAATTCTCCAAACTTGTCTCCATGCATTTCTATAAAGAATAAGTTGAGAGAATTTGATAAAAGATCATTTTAATAATTCTCACAACATTTTCTGCTGATTGTGTATTGATATTGTTATGGGAAAATTGATGATGGTCAATCTTGGGACTTTAAGGGTTAACAACCCGCAGTTAATTTTAATCTGTCAGCCGACTGTCTGTTCGCGAACTGTCAATCGACACTCTAATGATGGACAGCCGACAGATAGTTGTACTGGAGAAACCAGTTGTGCTATCTCTTGGATAGTTCCACAACATAGCACAATCCACCCTTGAGCAACTGGAATCAGCTTATACACTGTAGTTTTAGCTCAATATGCTATCAAGCTGTACACCAAGAATGACTGTATAATAAAAAGAAATAATATTATCATAAATGCAGAGAAAGCTTGTTTCAATATTATGCCACTTGGTTTGTCTTTAAAACTCCATTGTCATGAAACATGATATCACAGATTGGTATTTGGTTTTTCTTAGTGCTTTATTACCTGCATTATAACTTTATAATGCTATAACATCTTTTATCTTTCAGGAAGGTTATCCAAAAAGACAAAGCAATTTTAAATAAAACACTTAGTGAATTGAAAGAAAAAAGCCGCTCACTTCAAGCACAAGAGGAAAATGTGAAAAGCCGAAGATTCCATGGAAGATGACAGTAGCCACTTACAAAAACTCCACAGTTATGTGACAGAGTGTGAAGAGAATCTGACCAAGCACAAGTAAGCTACTGACTCAAACATTAAAATTCAGTATCTTTCTTATGTTAAAACTGATTGTCAGACAGTTTTAAGGCCATATTTTTTTTTCTGACGGCCATTAATACAAACTGTTATTACCATGCCCTTACTTTCTCCTTCTGTTTTAAAAAATTGTTTTCACCTCTTGCAATAATGGCACTTTATAACTTCCTTTCCTGGAAAAGTACAATTTTGTTTGAATGTTTCATTTCAATCCTATAACCAAATTACAGTTCCTTAAAATTAACTTAAAACAGTTCCCTTTAGCCTTCATGTTAATGGGAGATATGCCCGTAGACAGCAAAGAAAATAAAGGTTATAGAAAAAAAGGATGGTGATGGATAGTGTTAGTCACTGAATAAATCACTTTCTAGGGTTTTTGGTCATCTTGCCACCAACAAAATCACCAGCAAGAAGTCTACTTCTTTAACCCTTTAAGCCCCAATATCCACATACAAATTCTCCAAACTGGTCTCCATGCATTTCTATAAAGAATAAGTTGAGAGAATTTGATAAAAGATCATTTCAATAATTCTCACAACATTTTCTCCTGATTGTGTATTGATATTGTTATGGGAAAATTGATGATGGTCAATCTTGGGGCTTTAAGGGTTAACAACCCGCGGTTAATTTTAATCTGTCAGCCGACTGTCTGTTTGCGAACTGTCAATCGACAGTCTAATGATGGACAGCCGACAGATAGTTGTACTGGAGAAACCAGTTGTGCTATCCCTTGGATAGTTCCACAACATAGCACAATCCACCCTTGAGCAACTGGAGCCAGCTTATACACTGTAGTTTTAGCTCAATATGCTATCAAGCTGTACACCAAGAATGACTGTATAATAAAAACAAATAATATTATCATAAATGCAGAGAAAGCTTGTTTCAGTATTATGCCACTTGGTTTGTCTTTAAAACTCCATCGTCATGAAACATGATATCACAGATTGGTATTTGGTTTTTCTTAGTGCTTTATTAGCTGCATTATAACGTTATAATGCTATAACATCTTTTATCTTTCAGGAAGGTTATCCAAAAAGACAAAGCAATTTTAAATAAAACACTTAGTGAATTGAAAGAAAAAAGCCGCTCACTTCAAGCACAAGAGGAAAATGTGATCAAACTTCGCCAACAGCTTGAGGCTGCTCAGAAAATTGCTCTTGCTAACAGAGTGCTGATAAACAGGCTGCGCAATCAGGCAAAGGCAGTGAAGGAAAAAGTTGGGAAGAAACAGCTTGCAGCAAGCAACTTTGAAGAAGACCTTCTTAGAGCCAAAAGTATTCTATCAGCGGTAAGAAGGAAAATGCCTGAAGTGGGAGATACAGGATCTGGCCGAAACAGCCCCCAAATGGATTCTTTACGAGGTGTTTGCAATGAAAACCAGAAGTTTATGATCACTTCTGCTACTGCTCAGGAGATACAAAGTTCACTCGCAGCAAAGCTTGACAAGTTGTCTGCTTTATCCAAATTGGAAAATAGGGAAAAGAGGAAGCTTGAAGGAAATAGTGACTCTTCAGAGGAAACGGTGAGTTGTCTTAGAACATATTGCTCATGAATATCTATCAGTTTTCTAATATTATTATTTTGCTTTATTAGGTTTCCAAGAAAGCAAAGCCAGCTTCCAGTCTACCAAGAGAGGGGAGTCCTGCTTCTTCAGGACCTGGCACACCAAGAAAGTCTGCAGTGGCTGAGCGTCTTGCACAAGAAAAAGCACGGCTCAAAAAACTTGAACATGAACTATTACTGAAGCTTAAGTCATTTGGAAGACACCAGGAGGAAGAAAAGAATCATCCTTCATTGAGCAAGCAATCACAAAACAATGATAATACTGAACTTGAGAGAGTTGATGCACAAAAGATGAGGGCTCAACAGTTGAGTGATGGTTCAGGTAAGCAAGTTTTGAAGTCCAGAGATCAGCATCTTCAGCTTCCTGCAGGTAATGATAAGGATGCCTCACCAAAAGACACCCTAAGTCAAGACGTGAAAAAAAGATCCATTTCTCCTGAGCAGTTGGAATGGATCAGAAAATTACAGGTCAGTGTCATGCTTTAAGTGAAGGTTTAGAATGGAGAGGAAGAATTGTGATGTCATGTTGCCACAATAGCAAAATGTCTGGATGACAACAAGCCAAAATGTAACTTAAAAAGTGGATTCGCACTGTTTCAAGCTTCATCGATCTTATTTAATTTCATTTAATTTGTCAAATGTTGTCATAAGTACTGTATCTAAGTAAAGAAAAGGAAAAAGAACATTTTTGTGTTGTGCTCACCTACTCCATAAAGCAGGCACATGAAATTACGAAGTTTCATGTCGCAGTTGTGCAACAACGGCTAAGAAATGTACAAAAAAGCATGATGTTAGTGCAAAGTTGTTCTTTTGCCAATCTAAACCTATTACGTTTTTGCTGTTTGCCGTTGCAATTGCAAAAACTCCCTATTGTTGTGATCCAGAAATTTTGCTACCATGGTAATGTGACATCACACATCTTCTCTCTAGTGTGTGATGTAGATTACCTAATGTAAGTGAGTATGGACAAGCAGTATCATCAAGCTGTTAAGGGTGCGTGATTTCAACTCAAAATCCCTTTGGGGGGCCTGTTTCTCGAAATTCTTGGTAATTATTCAGGCTGTAATATAATATTCAAATCAAACTCTAAAGGATAAAAGTGCATTTCCTTTTTCAAAACCAGCCCATTTTGTTTTGTTGACTGGTGCATGATGTAGTTTTATCCTATTATGTGCAAAACTATTGAAACCTCGATCTTGAATGTCATTAAAAACAGTTTTCTGAGGCTGGTAATAATTGGGACTTTCGTGAAATGGGCCCCTGACCAGTGGATGGTGTTGTTCCTGTTATCCCACAAAGAATACCTGTGCATGTACAATAGTTTATTTAGTTCCTTGGGGATCTCCTAGGCTGAAAAAGAGAAGAATGGTCAACACTTTTCAGGCTTGAGTCCTGATGTCCCGGCAGTAGCAGCTCACCAGCGTTCTACACTGTGTGTTTGGTTGCCATTCGATGGTGACCTGTCAAGTACAGTAACTGATGTTGACGCTGGTGATTTGTGTAAAGAGCAGGAGGGAGGCATGAGAACTGTGGCTGAAGAACCAAGTGGAAAAGAAAGTAATGATTTGATTTCCTGTCCTCTGGAAAAGTACCAGAGCCTGTTGCGATACTTCAGGTCTTACAGGTATATGTGGATGAGTTTTGTAAGGGCCTGTTTACACAGAGGTGGGGGACCCCAGATAGGTGAGGTAACATGTGGCGGGCCACCCCACCAGTCATGTAAATGTGATCAAATTAAAAAGAGAGATTATATGGACAGGCAGGTTACTCCACCTAAGCTGGTTACCTCACCTACATGGGGTCCCCCACCTCCATGTAAACAGGCCCTAGATGTATACAGTTGTAGAAAACAACAATGAAGTAGTCACTGATAAATAAAAAAAACACTTAAAGACTGGTCTCAAGGAAAACACTTCATTTTGTTTCCCAAAAATCTCAAGTGCAGGGAAACAAAATTAACTGCAACCCAACCTCTGTATGTGACCATCTCTTTTCCTGCAACATTGTTTCATTTAGACTGACTTTTCAAACTTTGCCGCTTTGAAGATCAGTGCCTTGGTCAGAATTTTTATTCTTGAATCAAAGATTGTTTTGGATAGTTTTCAATTCTCAGGGTTGTCACTAAAATTTCAAGTTGCCAGGTAAATACATGTACAACACGTAGGAGGAGAATCAAACAGCTAGGGGTTTCTTTTGGTTCTATTTTTCTTATATTTTCTTTTTAAAGTAGCCGGGGGCCACATTCATCGTAGCCCCCACCTCTTAATGACAGCCCTGAATTCCTCAACTGAAGAACGGATATTGAAGCCATTGATGACCTCTTTAAAGGGGCTGTGTCGTAAAATAAATGTCTAGTTCATTGGGTTAACCCTTCAGGTCGCACAAGTGACCAACATCAATTTTCTCCTCACAACATCAACAGATCATCAAGAGTGAAGGTTATGAGAATTGCTAAATCGATTAAGAAAGGGAGAATGCTTTGATGTTAAACCAGATTCTCTCAACTATTCTTAAAGGAAATGTTTGGAGATCTGTGTGGAGAATTTGTATGTGGATCTTGGGGCTTAAAAGGGTTTATTTATTGCCAATAACACGGTTTTATTTTTTAAGGAACTGAATGTTAGTGAGGAATATACTCTCAATGACTGACAAAATCACAGCTTCTTATCATGCAAATATCTCTCCCAAAGTATTATACCAAATGTTACAAACAACAAAATGAACTTTGACAAACAGTGTTAAGCTAACAAGTTTTCAAAAATGTCAATTGCAATCCATTTTAATCTTCCTCAAGTTTGTCCATCCATGCCTCCTTTTGTATTTGCTCTGTTATTTATATCGTCTTTTAATGTTTTGAGCAGTTTTTTAACCCTTTAAACCCAAAGATCAAAATTTGAATTCTCATTTGTTGCCCCTATTCGTTTCCTACAGAAGTAGTGGGGAGAAAGTTATAAAATATCAAGCAAATTCATCTTGAGTGATCATGTCCGTAATTCTTATGACCACTATTTTTTACAAAGCATTGATATTACAAGGAGAAATTTGTTGCTGATCGCTCTTAGGGCTTCAGGGTTAATGTTTCACTGAATTTGGTGGTAGCCCTCACTGCTGGAATTTTGATAAACTTCTTGACACAGCTTCTTTAAGTTCAAATTTTATTCTGCCTAGCAACACTTGACCAGATTTCCCTGTACCATAATATTAATCCTAACAACTGCATATGTTGTTTGGTTATAGATTAAGCCCTTACTTCAGAATTGAACAAGGATTGTCTCTCACCTCTTTAACATTTTCAAATAAACTGAACTTCAATTGGCCACTGTGCAATTTTGATCTGCAAGGCAAATGCAATGATGAGGACTGCAAATTCCAGCATTTTGCTCAATGCAAATTATCAAAGGAACAAACACTGCAAGATGTGGCCTCTTACAATCCAAATTTCACTGTGGAAAATCAAGAATTGCAAGAGATTCAGGAGAGTATTGAATCTTTCACGAAAGCTTTTGCAAAACAATATCAAGACAAGATGACTTGGGAAGAACTTTGTATATTACTTGCAAATGATTTGAGGAAAACACGAAAGGGTAATGGACCATTTAATATCGCTCTTCATCCTCGAAGTTGGATACTAAAGCAGGGAGATAAAAAAGAGGAAGAATTCATAGAAGACAGTGTTCCTGATTTAGGACGCGGGATTGTTTTTGTTAAGAGAGACAATATCCATGGTGCAGTTACACAGACTAGAGAGACTGCCAAGAAAAAAGCAAGGCCTGTAAATGAAGAAAGGTAAGTCTTCTGTTACAGTGATGTGTGACACAGTCTGTTTGATGGCCAGTTGCACAAAATTATCCTGAATTTTCAGTTAACTGAATGATTGTCATGAATAATGTGTATAAAGGGTTTTGTTATCATTTTTTCACAAGTGTCACAGTGACTTAGATATTGAACGCAACCTTTCGACTGCGTACTGCAGGTAGTCATCAGGCAATAACGTTGATTTTACTGAGTAGAACTATTTGTACCACCATGTTTTTTAATCACTCACATTTTTTAAATGGACACCATCTTCTTATGAAGACCTGCAGCACATGGTCGAAATGTCACAATCAATATCTAAGCGACACACAATTGTGTCAAACAATCAATTAAACCCTTTATAACTGATTGATTATTTATATGTCGCTCACTTCCCTCCACAAAAATGTTCAGGGAAGTGGTTATCAATGCCCTTGTAGAGGTCCTAGAATGTATCTTATTACCAATGCCATTGTTCCCTTAACACTGAAAAAATACCCTTTTTAATGCAGGCCTCACAACATAATTATCCAATATATACATTGTATTATGGTTTGTTTGTTCTAGGGCTTCATGGTCATGTGTAAGTGCTTTAACCCTTTAAGCCCTAAGAGTGATTAGCATCAAATTTCTCCTTGTAATACCAATGCTTTGTATAACACAGTGGTCATGAGAATTTTTAATTACATGATCACACAAGATGAATTTGATTGATATTTCATCAACTTCTCCCCACTACTTCTGTAGGAAATGAACTAGGGCAACAAATGAGAATTCAATTTTTGATCTTAGGGTGTAAAGAGTTAATACATGAAAGAAAGCAATTATGATTATTATGTTAACTTCATGAGGTTACCAAATACTGGAGGGCAGTTGGGTGTTGTTTTTGTCCCACTGCAGTAAATTGACATTTACCTTGAAGGTGAAAGCTATGGTGCAGGAATTATGTATTTTTAAGCGCTACTTTTAGTATTTCCAAAAACTTTTCAATTGATTGGTCATCAAGGAATTAACTGCAAACTCAAAGGTTTGAACTGCATTACATGCAAGTAGTACATGTATGTTTGTTATCGACTATGGTAAAGTGTAGGAATAAGCTGGAAGTGCGTGAAACGTTTGAGAGTCATTGTCTTGTTCATGTGTTGCAGCCAGGAAATACGCTACTTTGTGGAAGAATACAACAACATCGAAACTCTTGAAGATTCTTTGGAAAACTCGCCTACTGATGTAGCTTTATGGATTACGCTTGCAAGGTTAAAGCTTCATGAGAAACCTGTTGATATCAACACAGAAAATGAGGACACCTTCAGGAATAATATCGCACAAGCACTTAGTACCCTGTCAAGAGGATTAGAGGAAAACACCCATTCAGAGGTAAATGTCATGTTTTATTATGTCCATTTTGAAATCACTGGTGATCCCTTCAATCTGATTGGCTCTCAGTAGTGTGATTAATTCATGATTAAACAGCACCATTTTTGCTCTAGATGGGATCATTTCTGTTTCGGGTACAGAATGAGATGTAAAAGCCGTTTCGTTTCCTCTTTTCAACAAACTGGCTACTAGATCAAATAAGTATTGGTACTGACTGAATTTTGCAATTTCAAAATGGCTTTAATAAAGTGGTAATTGAACTTCATCTCATGCCATTTTCGTCTGAAATCATACTTATGATTTCAAATCGGACTCGCACGATTTTTAAATCACGCGTATGGTTTCAGACCAAATTAGACTCCACTCAGTTTAATTACCGTTATGTATTGTCTAATAACACCTTTTATTCCAAGGCCAATATATGGCAAGAGTATTTATCACTCCTACTTTTAAATAGCCAGCATAGCAGGCATTTCTGCTCAAGGTATTGAGAGAAAGTTGATCATCAGTTCATCATCTCGTCATGAAAACTGCGCAATATAAATTCTAAATTATTAATTAAAAGTTGCAGGTAGAGGACTGAGAAGAAGAGGAAACTCCTTCTCTCCCCTCCCCATCCCCCTTCTTTTATTCTTTTATTTAATTTTGTTTTTTGCTCTCACTCCAGATTTCATGCATTAACACGAGCAGAAATGCTTGCTACGCAATTCTGTGAGCAGATTCGTAATTAATGACCCCTCTTTAACAGATCTTTCATATTGTAGTTTTTATTTTTTAGGAAATTATGTACCTTTTTTTCAAAAAGAAATTGGAAATTGCTAGTGAATTTTCTCCTGTGGTATCTTTTAGGATACAAAAATGGTTCATGCTTTTCTTGATTTCATGTTTGCAAAAGTGTCTGGAAAATGTCAGCTACTATGGCATTTCAAGCAAGCGCAGTTGCCAATATTATGTCATTTTTAGTGTCAACTCTTGCAGAATTTACCATTATTTGTCAACAGCAACATAATGTTTGTTTTGTAACTTTCTTGTGCAGGAATTGTGGCTGGAGTACTTGGAATTATATTCATCACAGAGCACCCAAGATGAGCTCCGGGAGATCTGTGACCAGGCAGTAGAGTACTCACCAACATACAGTGTATGGTGGCAGTACTTGGAGTATTCGGAAACATACCATGCCAAGAAGACTGTCTGTTTGCGTCTGTTGTCCTTTCTTGTAGAAAACCTTGTTGATCCAAGAGAACTGCACTCGCATCACATTCTTGAGACACTTCTTTACCTGGTTCAACTTGAACTGTATTCTGGACACTACAAATCAGCATTAGCTGTTTTCCAATCAGCGATAGCTAAGAAACGGAGCTCGTCAGAAGTTGCTGATCTATCTGTTCACATGTTACCTTCTGATTGTTGTCTTGCTTGGTTAGCTTATATTCACGTATTTGAATTTCACCGACTTCCTACGCCCTGGTTTGACCCTCAACAAGGCAAGCCTTCCAGAATGGTAACGAAAGAAGACTTTGTGTTCCCTTGGAAGCCATCAAAACAATCCAGAGCCTCTGGAGAAAAACTATTAGCATTGTTTCAAGGTACATGTGTATCGTTATGTAAAAGTAATCAGTTGTGTAGTACAGTGCACAAGCAGTGCCTTTGAGTCCAATTTTCTTTTGAGCCAGCATTTATTTCTTGATACAGTATTTCATGGTCACAAAGCATCTGGATGTTCATGCAAAGTTTTAAAGGTTTAAAATCTTGACAAAGCTAGTTACTGAAAACAGAGCTACAGTACTATTTGTGTGATAATTTATTGGTAGATTAGAAACTGTTTGAGCACCTTTTCTGTTTATTTAGTTTGGTAGTTTTTTGTTTTTTTTTTCTTGGTGTTATATCAGAGCAGAGAATAATGCTAGATACCCCGGGATATCGAGTAACCTGTTGATCTACAGCTGTAGGATATTGTTTATTGCAAGTTGTCTGATGGTCAAGTTTCTTTGTTAGCTTCAAGTTTATAACTTAATAATGTTCTGTGCTTGTTCTTCTGAGTGCAGGGCTAGAAAACTGAACAAAATTATTGCTAACGAAAGCAAGTATTTTTTTCTATTTTCAACTCACCTTGCAGATGCTTTAAAAGCTTGCACTGCTTTAGTGAAATCATCTTCCTCCAGACTTAATGTTTGCCTGCCACTTTACAAGAACCTAATTGCGTTGGAGAGAGCATATGGTAGAATAAGCTCTGCGGAGGGAATCTGCCGTCACCTGCTGAAAGACAATCCATCTGTGGTGGTACTTTGGCTGTGTCTGGCAGCACTTGAAGATGCCATGAAGAAGCCAGGAGAAGTAGAGAAGGTGTACAAGGACGCACTGCTGAGATGCAAGTGTCATGCTGAGGTGTCCTATAGTGCTGCTCACTATTACCTGGAGCAGGTTTGTGAGAAATACAGTTCTCTTTAACTGTGAAGGTTTGAACACAGGAGTCATTTCATAAGTAGGTTGAGTATAATCAGCCGGCTGAATGTAGTCGTGAATAGGACTCTTGTTGTTGACAGTGACATTAATTTTTGACAACCTGTGTGGTAGTCATCTGACTTGACTCTGAAGATGACTACCACACAGGTAGTGGAAACGTCAGTCACTGTCAACAACAACAGTCCTATTCAGTACTGCATTCACCTGGACGATCACACTCAACCTACAGTTCTGTTTGTGGAATAATTGGAAAAGCTCTTTAAGGTCCTTGAATCCCATGATTATTTCTTTGGAATGGCAAAAAGCGGGTAGATTTTCAAAAACGTGTTTTCTATTTTCTAAGGTGTTACTGCTTCATCCTACAAATTCTGGTTTAACCTTGTAGGCCTTTTTTTTCATTTTCAATGTGATAACATTGCTTAAGCTAACATAGAGATTGAGAGAATGATCCTTTGATCAGTACATGTAAACCATACTTATAGAAATATGTGGAGAAAAGTGCAGAGATTGTGCATGTTGATACTAAAATTGGAAGGGTTTTTGTGTGTGACCGGTGACATGTTGGATGCTTTACATTAAAAGGTTTGTTTATACAGTCAACTCTCTCTAAGCCGGACACCTTTGGGACTGGCTCCAAGTGTCCGTCTTAGAGAGATGTCCATCTTATAGAGAGTCATCTGGGCCCAGTTGTTCAAAAGATAGATAACGCTATCCACTGGATAGTGATTTATCTGGTTGATAGCGTTTTCCTCCTTTTGAACAACCGGGGTCTGTAGTGGAAAGTGCTCTTAGCTTATCCAGCTAGTTTACAGGCACCCCACTCAAATAATCAGAAACAAATAATTCAAATATAATATGATTATCACGGTTTTAAACCCCAATTGACAGGAGGCAACCAGTGGGCTATTTACAAGTGTGACTGGGGATTTGGACTCGGGCGAACAAATCTAGAACAAATCCAGCCAGTGGACTTGAACCTAGTACTGCTGGATTGCAAGTCCAACTCGTTGACCACTTGACCACACTGCGTCCTACATTGCCTTTTTTTCTGTCCACAGGGTGAAGTGCAAAAAGCTGTATCAGTTCTTGTCAAGTGTGTATTGAACAAGTTTGCATCAGACAGTAAGACACCTGTGGGTGAGGTACTCAGCTTAGCTGCTGCTACCCCTTCTGAGCATAATGGACCTGATCCAATTGCACTGTACCGCCGACTTTTATCACAGCCACTTCCTTATGACTACAAGTGTCCTTCACTCATGCCAGGAGTTTTACCACAGAGCTTGGGAAGAGAGAAGCTCTTCTTGTGGCTCTCCTATTGGTAAGATGATGGCAATGATAATAAATTTTATTAGTAGTAGTATTAAGTATTAGTATCATTATTACCAGTAAACTCCTGAGTGTGAACCATCAAGCAAGAAGGGAGACCTAGACGTGGTCCTTGTCATTCTTCATTCATTTTCGTTTACTTGTTGTAAGTCGGACAGCTCTCAATGACGTCGGTTTCTTTCTTAGAGACACTGGACGGTAGGTTTTTTATTTTCCCAGATTGCTCCTGGGGTTATTGACACTTCTGGCCATTGCCATTCACAAATGTCCAAGCATGTTGTCTGATTTGTTTATTAGCTTGTTACTGGAGATTTCACCACCAACCTCATCTGAGAAAAGCTTGCACTGCTTTAGTGAAATCATCTTCCTCCAGACTTAATGTTTGCCTGCCACTTTACAAGAACCTAATTGCGTTGGAGAGAGCATATGGTAGAATAAGCTCTGCGGAGGGAATCTGCCGTCACCTACTGAAAGACAATCCATCTGTGGTGGTACTTTGGTTGTGTCTGGCTGCACTTGAAGATGCCATGAAGAAGCCAGGAGAGGTAGAGAAAGTGTACAAGGAAGCACTGCTGAGATGCAAGTGTCATGCTGAGGTGTCCTATAGTGCTGCTCGCTATTATCTGGAGCAGGTTCGTGAGAAACACAGTTCTGTTTGTGGAATTTTTGGTAAAGCTTTTCAAGGTCCTTGAATCCCATAATTATGTCTTTGGAATGGCAAAAAAGAGGGTAGATTTTTTTGTTGTTTTTGATTTTGTAGTTGTTACTGCTTCATCCTACAAATTCTGGTTTAACCTTGTAGGCCTTCCTTTTCGTGTTCAATGTGATAACGTTGCGTAATCTAACATAGAGATTGAGAGAATGATCCTTTGATCAGTAAACCATACTTATAGAAATATGGAGAGAAAAGTGCAGAGATTATGCATGTTGATATTAAAATTGAAAGGGTTTTCGTGGTTTTTGTGTGACCGGTGACATGTTGGATGCTTTACATTAAAAGGTTTGGTTATATAGTCAACTCTCTCTAAGCCGTACACCTTTGGGACTGGCACCAAGTGTCTGTCTTAGAGAGATGTCCATTAACCTTTTAAGCCCCAAGATCCACATGCAAATTCTCCAGACTGGTCTCCATATAATTCTTTTAAGAATAATTGAGAGAATTTGGTTTAAAATCAAAGTATTCTCCCTTTGGTAATCAATTAAGTAATTCTCATAACCCTTGACTCTTGATGATCTGTTGATGTTGTTAGGAGAAAATTGATGTTGGTCACTCTTGGGACCTAAAGGGTTAAGAGAGAGTTGACTGTAGTGGAAAGTGCACTTAGCTTATCCAGCTAGTTTACAGGCACTCCACTCGAATAATTAGAAGCAAATCATTCAAATAGAATATAATTATCAGCGTTTTAAAACCCAATTGGCTATTTACAAGCATGGCTGAGGATTTGGACTCAGGAGAACTGGGAACAAATCCAGCCGGTGGACTTGAACCTTGTACTTCTGTATTTCAAGTCCAACTCATTGACCACTTGGCCACACTGCCTCCTACATTGCCTTTTTTCTGTCCACAGGGTGAAGTGCAAAAAGCTGTGTCAGTTCTTGTCAAGTGTGTATTGAACAAGTTTGCATCAGACAGTAAGACACCTGAGGGTGAGGTACTCAGCTTAGCTGCTGCTACCCCTTCGGAGCATAATGGACCTGATCCAATTGCCCTGTACCGCCGACTTGTATCCCAGCCACTTCCTTATGACTACAAGTGTCCTTCACTCATGCCAGGAGTTTTACCACAGAGCTTGGGAAGAGAGACGCTCTTTTTGTGGCTCTCCTATTGGTAAGTTGATGGTAATAATAATAAATTTTATTAGTAGTAGTATTAAGTATTAGTATTATTATTACCACTAAGCTCCTGAGTGTGGACCATCAAGCAAGAAGGGAGACCTAGACTTGGTCCTTGTCATTCTTCATTCATTTTCGTTTACTTGTTGTAAGTCAAACAGCTCTCAATGACAGCGGTTTCTTTCTTAAAGAGACTGGACGGTAGGTTTTTTTATTTTCCCAGATTGCTCCTGGGGTTATTGACACTTCTGGCCATTGCCATTCACAAATGTCCAAGCATGTTGTCTGATTTGTTTATTAGCTTGTTACTGGAGATTTCACCACCAACCTCATCTGAGTGGGACAATCTGACACCAGATGCAGCATTTGAGACAGCAGTGCACAGCCCTTTAGACAGACAAGATATCCAAATACTGTGGACAGAATATCTACTCTACCAGAGATCCAAAGTCCTGAAGAGAGACAAGTCATCATCAGTACCAAGACAATCCATGGATGAACTAGTAAACAGATGCTTGATGTCAGTGAGCACCAGTAGCTCTTTGCCTCATTCATCAAGTGCCGTATGGCAAGACTACAGGTTTCATAATCAGGTAAGCTATAACAAAATTGATTTAACAACTGCATCGATGAATAGAGGTTGGGTGCCTGTAGTATCCAGGGGCTACTACTCTTGGCAGCCAGCCCCTAGATTGAATAATGCCCCCATGGCTGGCACACCAGCCCAACACAGCCATGAGCCCTACTTAAAAGGAAACAAAACAGACACCCGTCATACTGAAAATATAATCAGTGGAGAAGAAATCCGCAACGGATCAACTTAGGTTTCTGGGAAACTACCCACCTACCCCTCCCCTAAGCCAACAGTTTGCCCTAAGTGGGAAGTAAGTGATAATGTTGACTTAGGGAAGGGGTGGGTGGTCAATTTCCCAGAAAGCTGAATTGATCCGGAACCACAAGTAGGGTACAAAAACTGGCTGACAGAAACCTTGTGGCAGGAACAACGCAGCTCGAAGGAAAACTCGTCACATCACTAAATCACGTGAAGGTTGTTGAGGACCACCAACCGACCGCGGACCATTGGCGCTTAAGACGCTCCTAGTTATTACCGGAAATCCTCCGTTAAGCCCTCCTTCTCCATTTCGTTACAGAAAATCACTATCTGTTATTAATGCGAGTCGTCACAGTTTCCAGTTTAATTTTTTATAAACTGGTTCAAGTTCCTAGGCTCGCTACATTAACAAAAGTCTTACTCACCCGGTTTGGTTTCTTATAACATACTGGGTCTTCAGACTTTGACATCTGTGCAGTGTCGCATATTCTCCTTCGCAGCTGCTCGGGCCGGAGTCACGCGATACTTTAGGAGCATTGCGTGACTCCGGGCCCAGCGGCCATGAAGGAGAGTAAAGTGTCACATAATTTTGACACTGAAAACTGTTGATACTGTACTAAGGTTTAAAAACCCTTTGTTTTAGACCCTATCAGTGACCGTTATCTAATTCCTCCACCGTCCACATATTATATCAAGATAAATGTTTGGATCAAAAAACGTTATCCTGGTAATTTTCTAAGAGTGTGTTATAAGTGCCTGGAGGTAACATTCGTGGTGATTTTAGGGTGCGTTAACCCTTCAAACCCTAACATCAAAATTCAAATTCTCATTTGTTATCTCTATACGTTTTCAATAAAAGTAGTGGGGAGAATTTGTTGAAGTATCAATTAGATTCATTTAGTGTGATCATGTTCTTAATTCTCATGACCACTCTGTTTCACAAAGCATTGATATTACAAGGAGAAATTTGATGCTGATCACTCTTGGGGCTTAAAGGGTTAAGGTGTGTGGCCTGCAGGGTTTACTTGGTTGTGATACTGTGTTTCATATGTCATTAATTCTTTCAGGTTATCAGCATCTCACTGAGCTGCAAATCCCAGTCTTCTTGGTCAGCCTACTTCCAAAAATACTTGAGATTGTTCCCAGGGAACGTCAACTTAGCACTATGGTATGTTTTTCAGTGTATACCGGGCTATTTCATAGTTGAGGAGACTGGTTATGAACGCTGAAGAACATCAAAGATGAAAACAACGGTGCTGGAGTTTATGTTTAGCCTTCACACAGTAGTTCTTTTGGCTCGTCACGCAATGCTCCACAACGTGAGGCAGAAACGCGTCACGAACCCCTAAGAACGTCCGCGCGGGAGGCTAGTTTATGTTTGGAGCTCCCCGACGGCGCAAAATCTTCTGCTTTTTGTTCATAAGTTGTGACTGTCAGTAAATTAATGTGACGTTTTTATTGGTTAACAAGATTAAAATGATAGGAATGCTACCTTCAAGTCCAGGAAAGCTAACAAGGACACATGACAAAGAAGTCAGATGGCTAACCATGGCTAGTCATGCATCTCAACTTTTCATTCAACTTGTTGACGCAACCATTATTTGCGGGGATGGTCTTAAAGCAGTGTTGTAGATAGTAGATTGTTGCACTCGATGTTGGCAAAACCATTTGATTTGGTATGTTGCTCAATTTATTTTTACAGGGCCTGCAAGCATGAAGTGGAGAAGAAAAATCTTGACCAAGCAAAGAGAATCAGTTCTTCATTTCTTTCAGAACATTTGCACTGTATTAGCATGTGGAAGGTGTACCATTCATATGCTTTATGCATTTTCCACAGACAACAAGTTTTGTGTAGAATGACTACAAAAGTACAATGAGGCGATGCGCATCCTCAAAGTTTTTGACGCAAGCCTTTGAAGACTGTAGTTGATTGTCAAAATGTACTTGAAATCTATCTCTTCATAATTGAAGAAACGTTTGCACGTTTAAGTGTTAAGGACTCTCTCAAAAACTTTAGCAGAGTCTTAATCAGCCTGACATACTGGAGCGTCTTTCTGCTTTGTTTAAATAAGACCATTCTTATACTTTTTAGCTTTGAAAGCCCTGATTTGAATGACTGTCTTCCCTGTGTTGTGTGTTGTTTTCCTTTTTGTTCCTAACAGGGCTATTTCTGTTGAATTGAGGAGACATTGCATCAAGGAGGTAAAGATTTTTTTTTCATTTTTGCCGTGTCCATGTTCGTCAGGTTTAGGATGTGTGAAAATCTAGTCTTGAGAATAAAAAGTATTAACAGTCATTTAACAATAACTATCAGCCATTATTATTATTATTATTATTATTATTATTATTATTATTATTATTATTATTATTATTATTATTATTATTATTATTATTGTCATCATCATCATCATCATTGTATTAGTGGGTAAATCCTGTCTGTTTCCTAGGCCCGCAAGATGTATCAACAGGCCACTATGGTTTTACCACTTGGTGCAACGCTCTGGAAAGATGTAAAGTTCATCAACATTTATTTTTTATATCAGCTTTGCTCTTCCATCTTTTGCTGCTGTACCTTTGTTTTTCTGTTGAATTCTTTTGTCGTTCAAGTTTTTCCTTTCCTGTCCTGAACTTCAGGTTCATTGTCCTCTTTCATGTTCACAGTATTTGATGTTCGAGCTTGCCCAGAGTGGCGATGGCCCCGATGTCCAGGAGATTGTGGCGAAAGGTCGTGAAATAGGTGTTGATCTTGAGGAGTTCTTGAACACTCTTCTTGGTAAATGAGAGTGTTTGCATCGCTTGACAGTAAACGCTGCCAAACGGTTTACGGTAAACAAACGGACGGTTACAAAGAACTGAAATGGAAGGTGACTGAGTGCATGACATGTTACCTAACGCAGGTATATACTAACCTGCAAATTGACTACCACAATGCTTACAAAGGGACAGTTATTGTTTCTAATAGTACAGTATCTTACCAAAAACTTCAGTAAGATACGATGGACTCTTTTTGTACAATACGCAGCAATCTTCAACAGGCATAAAGGAACACACTGTTGTAGGGAAATCATCTGTTTTAGGGACAACGTCCATTGTGCGACATTACCGGTTCAATGCACAAATCCCGTTGTAGTTATAAACTTCCGTCCACGTAACATGTCCCATGAAATTTTGCGTTCCGGAGTTAGGACGAAATGACTCCGATTTTCAACGAATCACATTCAGTGCAAACGAGGGGACGTGTTGTCCCCAAGTGTGCGCCGGTCTTTGTCGTTGTACGAAGGTGAAGAAGTTCGCGGTTTTGTTTCATTGATTACAACAAGACAATCTCTGTATTTAGGAAACTGGGAATTATTGTTCCAGTTTGTATAAATGTAGTTTTATTCAATTTTTTAGACAAAAAAATTTTTTCGACTATGTACATTTTTCTATACAGTATGTCAGTGAAATACTAAGACTCTATGCAGTCTTGTATGAAAAGTAATCTGAAAAATGGAAATGATTTGCTTATAAATCCAAAATTTGTACAGTTTTTGAGCGAACGAATGTCTTATTTTTGCAGTCGCTACAATTGTGTTTAATACGGTTAAATGTATTAAAGAAAATTAGGCTCAGATTGTTGTATATCTTCTGCAAATTATTATTTTTCAGACGTAGTTAGGTGTAAGATGATTTCAGTCTTTTGTTAGTTTAGTGTAGTCTGTGTTTTTTCCTTTTGTTGTGTTTTGATGTCGTTTTATTTTTTTTTAACGTACATCTTCAAAGAGAGCTTTTCTTTATTTATTGTTATTTGTACAAGTATTTTGTGTTGTTGTTGTTGTTGTTGTAGAATAGCTGATGTTAAGTTACGTGTGTGGAAAGCTGAGCTTTTATTTATATCATAGCTTCACCAAACCATCGAGGAATTCCGAGTCGAGCGTTTAGAAGGCTTTGTAGTTAGTCAGTTATTCTACGTAGAGGAGGCAGTCAGTTATTCAATCAATCTTCTAGTCAGTCAGTCCGTTTGTCAAAAAGTCAGTTGGCCTGTCTGTCAGCCACTCAGCCTGTTAGCCAGTCTGCCAGCAAGTCAGTCAGTCAGTCTGTCCAGTCAGCCGATCACTCAACCAGTCAGTCGTCCTTCAACAGATCAGTCAATTAGATCAGTCAATTCAGTCAGTCATTCTCTCTCAGTCCCCTTCCCCCCCTCCCCCCCTCGCAACCCCTGTGACCCCTTGTTGGTCGTGATGGACTCATTCACTTATGGGCGAGTAGCAATACTCCCTTAGGCTCATAAGCATCATTGTGTCCACGGGGTGGGTGTTGGTTGTTTGTTCTTTTGCTTATTTTCCCAGGAGTTGGCTTGAACAGATCAGGATAATGAATCAGATATATACAAGAAATAGCGTGTACACACAAGTGTCGCGCTATACTAAGATGGAAATTCTAAAAGAACAGTGATCTTATATGTTACGAGTCCTTTATATGGAGAAGGAAAGAAAGCAAGAACGTTTTAAGCCTTCTACGTAGCCTTTGGGTCGATATCAAACCTGAAGGATCACTGAAAGACCTCCTTGATCTGTGAGGCTGAACGAGATTGATTCAGACTCTGAATACTTGCCAATCGCATTCCAAGGGCACAGTAAAATGGCTTGTAAGTAGGACAGACGAATCTGCAGTGCCCGATAGCACTGAAAAAACTGGCTAGCTAATTAATCCATAACTATTTATTGTAATCTGTTGATAGAATAAGATTCAAGCTCAGTGGTCCAGACAGCCTTATTCAATAGTACGGCATAAAGACTATTCATTTTTGTAATGGCAAAAGCAAACTTATTGTAGACACATTCTTATTTCCAAAACAAATTTGAGCACTGGCTAATTCAGCGATGGTTCGTGGAATTCAAATTACGAGTTGTTTAGTGTTTGGCTGTTTTACAAGCAAATGGCAGAAGAGTCCAGTCTATTAGAGTAACTTGCGTTAGTCTCCATGCATTTCCGTTCTATTTTTTTTGTTTTCGTTTCTCTCACATTTGCTGTCCTTTTCCTTTTAAATAGTTCTCTCTTTGTCATAATTTCTTGATATATTGACGTATTAGATTCATCCTTCATCCATCCTGTTTTCTCCTGTCATACATTAAAAGATAAAAAATAATAATAATTAAACCAATCTTGACGTAGCCAAGATCCGTTTTTTCGTGCATTTTGTTGACTGAACGTTTTTCATTTTGAATTGTTTTGATTTTACTCCATTTTGTGTACGTGATTAATCTGGTTTTATGACAGCAACTTCAAGACGGGCCTACATAGAAAGAAATCAGTGGAGATGCTTTCCATTTGTACGTTTATACTCATTAAGGTGTACATAAGTTTTGCCATCTTGTTTCCTTCGAAAAAATCTGTTATTTATTAATTAAAAAGTACTTTTTAAAGTGGAGATATTGATTCTTTGTACTCTTCCTTTTTCATTTCGTGCACATGAGATATTGTTCGTCACAATTCACATTAGCATGCGACAAACACCTTTCAGTTGAATAAAGTAAGGTCAGAAGCTGTCGGATATGTTGTCATTAACGTCTTAGTCACAGGCGTCTTTTTGTCATTCCACCCAATTGTTTTCAATTTCGAATTTAGGTTTCATCCGCCATCCGTGCTCGTCATAGAATTTAATTATGATTCAACGGTACTCGAGTTTCAAGATCGTTTTTCAACTGTAGTCACTCAACTCATCTAAGATATTGTAATAAGGGGAAGTTTTTCTTGCATTGTTTTGATGTCAAATATGTTTTGAATGAATGTATATACAAGCATGTCATTTCTTGACCAAAACGTGCAGATTCCCACCTTTCGCTATTCTGGGTTAAGTCTTTTTCACCAAAACTTTTTCATTTAATACAATTCTACTCATTAAAATGTTCAAATTGCCCTTGCAAACATTTTATTTCAGACAAGAAGTCTTATTTTGAGGGCCCTGCACTTTAAGCGTGAAAGCGAGGCGGCTAAGGGCCATCAGATTTCCCGCAAACTTTCAAAAAATAAAATAGAGCTGCGAAAACAGGGACGATTTGTTATTTAGAGATTAGAAATTAACCCCAAAAGATATTCCTGGAGCGTTTGTAGTAAATTAACGTGCGTTGGAAAGTGGACCTTGGCGAAACTAACCTTCGGCAAAGATCCTTCGGAAATACGTGAAACGTCAAGTCTTTCCTGTTATCGGAACCGGCGATAATTACAAAGCGGAGTATATTTGCGACAACTTTTTTTTTTTCTTAGTTCTAGAGTGCGCTTTTGCCACTTTATACAATTAAATTGCGGTTTGGCACTTAGGCCTCGCTTTCATGCTTACGTCGTTAGTGTGTATTTGGAGCGCACGGGTTTTCTAATTACGAGAGGAAAAGAATCCTTGGCCCAGAATGACCATGACTTACATAAGCAGTTTTAAGTCTGTAGCAACTATTTTCTTATTGTAACGGCTAAGTTGTAAGTTGCGTTTTATTAATTAAAGGTTCCTTCGGGAGATAGGAAGGTTTGTTCGTGTGTTGCTTTACTATTGCTTAAGTTAATACAGGACTTCAATGACAGCCCCGTTTGAATCTCGCCTTTTAGTGACTTTAGTTATGCCTTAAAAGGTGTCTTTGTTTCGCGCAAATGGTGCCAAAATAACTTGCAGTGGAATGTGATTATCTGGGTGAGGGTGGTGAATAGGACAATTGTTGACAGTGAATGATGTTTCGACAACCTGTACAATAATCATTTCTATCATCATGACTGATGGTTGATCTTCCCACGGTTCATCGACATGTGCATCGAAACGCCATTCACTGTCAACAATTGTCTACTCAATAAAGAGATTTTGAGTCACGTTTACGGGAAACGGAAAAGGTGGACTTGTACCACGTGGCCAAATCTTCCCTCAGTTTTGTTGTCTTTTACTATGAATTGCTTCTGCAAAACGTTTGGTAGCTTCACGTTAGCTTCATCCACAAGTACTGTTTTGGACTGTTTTTATCTTCTCATTTTCTATTTTAAGAATTTCCCAACTTGAATCTGACGTTTGCCTTAAGCGCGACTCGAAATCTCTCCCGGCCGAATGAACGTTTTCCATCTACTTATGACATGAGTCCTGGGCTCAAACCGTAACTGCGTGTGGTCCCTCTTTTTTTCCCTAGGGATAGAGAAGCAAGCGAAATCCCTGGGAAAATGAGGGACGACACCCAAACATACGAACCTAGCAAGATACGCAGGCACGTGACCCATTTGACTAAGAAAAAACCCCTTCCCCCCCTCCTCCTTCCACCAAAAAAAAACTGTTCGCGTAACCATTGTTTCTTATTTTTTGTGGGTGTTACTGTCGTCCCTTAAAATACTGAAGACAATGCTTATGAAGCATTTTGGGGTAAACAAGGTGAATCATGGGTAGGGGCGTTTGTACTAAGTTCTTGTTTTTGCAAAAACTTTATGCAGTTATGACCCGCCAGTCATCGCGCTTTTTTGAAGTCGCACTCCGAGCAAACTGCGCAAACACCAGTTTTTGCTGACTTTATTTTATAGTCTAGCTTTTTTCCTGCTCATCATTCCAAATAAAAACCTACTTAAGATGTGTGTTCGGGTTGTAGAATCTCTCTCCTAGGTGGGCATATCTACAAGCAAAGATGGTTTAAAGACAGGCCCGGAAACTTTTCAGGTCCGAAGGCAAATTTTAAAATCCAAACCCGTTAAATAGTGGTTCCTAGCCCATAAACCAGTCAATTTTAGTTCGTCAACTGTCAGTTTCATTTTATTATTTTCGAAATTATTGAAACTTTGATGTTGAATGCAAACACAACAAACACAAAGCCCGAAAAGTTCCCGGGACTTTAGAGAAGATGCCCTCCCTTGGGCCTAGTTGTTCATAGGCCGATTAGCGCTAACTCGAGGTTAAATTTTGATCCGAATTTCTTGTTCTTTCGTTTAAAAGCATTTTCTCAGAAATTTTCCCTATTCTTTTTAGAGTATTCGATCATCAAATTGTAGACAAAAAGAAATAAACTGAATTTGCCTTTTAAGCTGTCAAATCTTAATTTAAAATTTTTAATTCAGCACTTTGTTGCTCGGGCGTAAAGCATTTTCAGCGAGAAGAACTGGGGCTCATTATTTCTGGAAATTACTTTGAGTTTAAAGAAAGAAAGAAACATGGTCGCTGTGTATTTTATAAATATTTTCCTGCGTTACCACAATAAAATTCTACCAAAGAGAACTGGGAAACTGCGAGGCAGCGTTAACAGGCTCGGTCACTCAGCAGTGAATGCCGGGGAATGGATATTGAACGAAAAAGCACCGATATTGAAAACCAGCACAGTTTCTTGAAGCGCGTAATAAGAGAGAGTTAATTGCAGGTTACTTTAAGGTAAAAACTCGATCTTCACAATAGCTCGTAATTAAATTCCGAATTAATAACTTTATGCAAAGTGGTAAAGTCAGACATTAAAACTACAAATAAATTACCTTGTTCATCAAAAGCTATTTTAATGTCTGCTCATGTCGTATTAGGAATTTAGAAATCAAACGCTTCAGGAGCCTATCACTTTCATTCACAAGTCGAGCTTCAAAAAATCGATACCCGTATAGTAAAACATGAGACGCCTCCGTGATTCGTGACGTCAATATTAAGCCTAAATAAACCCGTTCCGCAATCATCGTCACCGACTCAACTAACGTTTGCAAGTTTTTGTAAAGAAAGGCTTATCTGAACTCAAATATCAAACCATTCCTCGTACAACATCGTGGGTTTTTTGCAGGTGATATTAGGTGATAACAAGGGGAGGGAACATATCCGTAAATGCTTTTGGCTGACGAAAATGAATTATTGTTTTCTCAAGTTCCAACAACGTAAAACAATATTAAGAACACAAGGTTGTTTTGTGGTCAAGACATTTAATCTACGTACTTATCAACGGGTTTTAAAACAAATCACGGCTCAAAAGAGAATGTTTTCTAAGTCAATATTTTTTCTTGTTTCCGAGGTATTCCAAAACTCATAAAGTTTGTTTTTTGTGACTCTGTTGACTAAAGTGAACTCATTCGTCACAAGCAGATCAATAGAATACTATCCCGTTTCTCTTGGCGACTTCAAGAAAGAAACAATTCTAGCTGTAAATATGAAAAATCCATAGGTGCGAGTGGGGAGTTATGATATTGAACCTTTTTGGTGCTTTAATTGTGCCTTAATCTTTCCGATGTTGAAGATGCAAATTGAATTGCACTGAATTCTACCAAGAAGCTAAAACGGTCGCACGTACATTCGTTGTTCATTTTTCCTAGATACCGGAGGGATTTGTCAGATTAGTCAGTGATCGATCATCTTGTTTGGATTTGTGGAAGGATTTGTCAGCCGGATTGCCTCTGTCAAAGAATCCAAGAATTTGTCAGCTGACTTTTGTTGTCGCGCGTTGTGGTAATTTGAAAGATCGAGTAACCGGTGTTCTGACAGATGAAAAGATACTTTGCGCAGCGCATAAGAAAAGCAACAAAGATGAAATGTCTGTCTAGAGGCTAAAAGGTCGAAACGTGCAATTATTGTAATCGTGTTATGACGATACCATGCCGCCACGTATTTGAAACTGCTTGATAAACAGCCTTCTCGCGTCTGTCATTCAAGTGCTCAAGGAATTTTTATATCGCCGGAAAACTTTTAGTCTAGAATTTACCTTCTTCAGTCAAAAACAACTCGAGTGGTCTTTAAATTAAATTATTTGATCTAGTCACCTCAAAGATCTCGAACTTGACCATCACGCACTAACATTTAGTGAGGGACACAAAAAGACTTTCAAGATCTCTTTGATCTGACCATTGGCTTGCGCAACAGATATATATACTTCAGTGGATTAAGTTTCTTAAATGTCTTTGTTGTTCCAGTTGGCTTTCTACAGAACGCTCAAGGAATTTGCTAATAGAGTGAACGGAAACCTGACGAAGTCAGCTTAATTATTGAAATGGAAATGAAGTTGGCTTGTCACACAGTATATGTGATCGATCGGCCCCTTTGACAATACCAATAATAACGTGCTGTCTCCGTGATCAGCTGCTAACTTGGATTGAAGCAGAGCTGGAGCCGAACTTCTACCCAGAGGGTACAGAAAAGTGAGCAAGCAGGACTGGAAAGCTCTTTGCAACTTTAATAATTGCCAAGAAAAGTTTACAGACTTCGATATTACGACGTCGTAATCCAGTTATCAACTACTTGCTAATTGAATTCAAAAAGCTTCGTTTTCATTCAACGAGTACTTAGCGCAAACTGAAGTTGAGGCTTGCGAGTCAGGCGAGTGTGGGAGTTCTCTCTCGTAATGGCCACAGACGTGAGTAACAATACGATAGCAAGCTCCAGTCCTGCACCGCAGTGTCCAGTTTTCTCCGAATCGTACACGGAGCAAGTTCTCAAGTGTGTTGCCTACTCAATCATAATGTTCTGTTCTCTCGTTGGAAATGTGCTTGTTATTTGCGTGGTTCTTCTATACAGGCATATGCGAACTGTTACAAATTACCTTATAGTCAATATGGCCGTAGCAGACTTACTCATCACGGCATTCAACATGCCTATAACCATTTCAGTGATTGCGGGCAGCCAAATCGAATGGTCTGAAAGCGTCGCTGCAGAAATGTTATGCAAGTTCATCCCCTTTAGCCAGTCTCTCTCCATTGCAAGCTCGGTGTTGAGCTTGACAGCGATCGCTGTTGACCGTTTTCTGGCGGTTATGTATCCTCTAAAACGCTACATCAGTTTCCATGCAGCCTATGTCCTCATTGTGGTCGTCTGGATTGTAGGGATTGCTGTGAACTCTCCGTTTCTTTACGCACAAAAAATTATCGTATTAGAAGAAGTTTTATCCTGCGAAGAAATTTGGACCCCAGTTTTCGGAGAAAATGCGGCTAAAGACTTCACCATTGTTTTATTTGTGTTGTTTTACGCAGTTCCACTTCTGACAATGTCTATTCTATACAGTTTTGTGGTTTACAAACTTTGGGTTAGAAAGGTGCCTGGGAATCAAACGACCGAGAACCAACTCCGCGCCGAAAAATCCAGAAAGAAAGTTCTCAAGATGCTACTAGTAGTGGTGACTCTTTTTGCTTTGTGCTGGCTCCCAGTGTATATTACCCAGTTTATTTGGTTTTTTGGGTCCGAGAGATTCCCCTGTGGACCCCCGGCTGTTTTAGCATTTCTGGCCTTCTTCCTGGGTCATACAAACAGCGCTTTAAATCCCGCTATTTACGTGATATTCAACAGCAACTTTAGAAAGGGTTTTAGAGACGTTCTCCTTTGTCGCTGTCGTCGTAGGAATAGAGTTAATGTTGTCCCACAAAATTTGCCCGGTACGCATGGTACCGCCTTCGGTGCAGACAACACTTCCCTGAACACCTCGCCTATCGCTCTCTCTCGCTTTCGCGGGTCCTCGAGAACTTCAACGACCTTGAGAAGATAAAGCGCGTGCGATGCAGCCTCGCTTGCGAACAGCAAAACACATTTGCCGTGTACTCCCCGCAAAATTTTAATAGCAGGGAAAATAGAGCGTAAAAGATCCAAATGAAAAGCGGCGAGACTCGTGAAAGACATACTTACTAGACATAAGATAAATTCTTTGATCACAAAATGATATATCACTGCTGTTTTGCGAGTTTAATTGTATCAAAACTCGTGCTTTTTTTACAGTTGTTTTCTTTCAAACATACGTTTTAATGACAGCCGGAATTAAGTTACCGTTCGCGACAGTTAAATAATTAGCTGCTAGAGCAACACATGGATATATTCAGAGAACCATTAGCAAATATAACGAGCTTCAAAATGTGCCATATGAGCCAGCGAATACATACGGAGGCAGGAACGGTGTTGAAGGACATTTCATCAACTTCAAGCAAAAATCTCAGAAACTTGACAAAATACATTTTCAAAAAAATATGTTTATTTACCCCCTTCGCCATTGAAATAAAATTAATTGCTTTTAAGTTTCCGTTTATACACACTGTAAGCCTTCAGGCAGTTTAGAATAGGGTTCAATTTTACTTTATCTTTTAAGTCTATAGACGGTAGGTAAGAAATACTGTTTAATTAAAGTACTTTGTAAGTAGTGTTCATCCTATCTTTCAATCTCTGATCGCCATCACTTTTTACGCTCAGAAGGGAAACCAAGGATGAAACTGATGTAGCATAATTTTGGGGTGCTACTGACTTCGCGGTTTTTCAAAAAAGCATATTTATTTTGACATTCCCCCCGGCAGCAAAAAGTTCGAGTTTTTTTTAATTATTATCGACATTTATTCAGAGAATGATCGAGACCCTAAGGCAACTAGTTGCCCTCAGAATTCAGCACAACATTGCTGCCATTTGAGTAAGATTACTCCCCAGTTTTCTGTCAGCACCATCAAACTTCTGTAATGAAATTCATACTTAGCTATTCATTTCATATCATGCTCTAAACGAAGTTGATAATATCTACAACCACAAAGGATCGTTACAAAAATCAAAATTAAAGGTATATTACTTTTCTCGAGTTAATAGTGAGAATGCTCACCGCAGATGAAGAACCGCAGAAACTGTTGTTTTACAGGGTATTAGCAGGACCCATGGACTCACGTTCTTCAAAACCACTGAAAAAATTTCGGTTTCGAACGGTGTTTCCTGAAGCGCGATAAACTGTAGCGGAGGCGTCGTTCTGTGACGATCCTAGCGGACCACCGACAAATGTTCCTATTTTATTTTAGCGATCGCCATGCAATGTTTGTTTGACTCGATATTTTGGCCCATGCGAAAAAATTGGCCAAGCGCATGTCTGAACGAACGGTCACCTATAGTGTTCCTGGTCATATGGTAACTAGGCCTAAACTGATTCGTTTATCATCCAGGCGAAGTATCCCTTCAGCTAAAAAAGCTAGTGGAGGGGGTCCCATGACGTCCGACAAGAGTTCTCCCCGCTGCCCGAGCTAAGCTACAATGAGCGGCTCGAACTACTGGATCTACCTCCGTTGGCTCACCGAAGAGACATCAGAGACCTTGTAACTTTTTACGATCTCAAGTGTGGTCATGACTATAATAACTGCTCGTTTGACTCCGGCCTATATTAAGTCCTGCTCTGATAAGAGACTAAGGCCATTCTAAAGTAATAAACTTAGATTAAGGTTAGTTAAAACTGAACTCTTCAAGGGAACGTTTTTTAATAGAATTCCTTATTTATGGAATAACTTACACGACAACCTTGGAACTGAAGACCTGAGCCTGTCATGCTTCAATAAACATTGCAGAGATTTTTATAAGAATAGGATAAGCGGCTTTGATCCTGATCGCCCACATGTAATTTGGGCATGAAACTATAGCAATTAACAATTTATATGATAAGGTTACTTTTTCTGACAATTTCTTTTTTTTTTCTTAGTGAGGACTCATTGTCATTGCCATTGTCATTGTCGTTGTCGTTACCGAGGTCATTGTAATCGTCATCATCATCATCATCATCATCATCATCATTATTATTATTATTATTATTATTATTATTATTATTGTTATTATTATTATTATCTCTATATTATCTCTACTTTTCACAGGTGCTAACTGTCCTGGAAACAAACAAAAAAATACCTTTAGCTTGGTCCCGTCCCGAGACCTTGGACTTCATGGACCTTTAATTCTCAAAATGGTGTCTTTTCGGAGAGTTCAGTGTAGAATTTTGCAAAGTTCTGACCCTCAGTTTTTGGAATTCCTATTTCCTTCCAACTGCGGTTTAAGTTGTTATGTATCACTCCTAGAGTCGTCATATACTACTTTTGTCTTCGCTCTCCAAAGGCTAGATATTTCCCCTTGCAAGGTCTTGATATTTTTCTTATTTTCCTTTTTTTTCTCTCTTTTATTTCAACGTTCGTCAGGTACCACAACGTCTGTGAGTTATTATTATGGCAGTAAAAACTTCTGAATGCCCTAGTGTGAAAAAATAGTCACACCGATTGCATGGAATAGCATAGCCTATGGGCCATATCTAAAATCTGGAAAACTCCTACAAATACGAGTTTCTTTACCTGCAGTATATATGGTTATGCTATACATTTGTCAAAAGATATCGAAAATGTCCGTTTAAAATTACCTAAAAGGTACTTTAAAAACAATAACATTTGTATTCCTTAGCAAGTACTTATTGTTATTATTATTATCATTATTATTCTTATTCTTAGTAGTAGCAGTAGTAGTAGTAGTAGTAGCAGTAGCAGTAGCAGTAGCAGTAGCAGTAGCAGTAGCAGTAGCAGTAGCAGTAGCAGTAGCAGTAGCAGTAGCAGTAGTAGTAGTAGTAGTAGTAAGTGGTAGTGGTAGTGGTAGTGGTAGTGGTAGTGGTAGTGGTAGTGGTAGTGGTAGTGGTAGTGGTAGTGGTAGTGGTAGTGGTAGTAGTAGTAGTAGTAGCAGTAGCAGTAGCAGTAGCAGTAGCGGCAGCGGTAGCGGTGGCGGTGGCGGTGGCGGTGGCGGTAGTGGTAGCGGTGGCGGTAGCGGTAGCGGTAGTAGTAGTAGTAGCAGTAGTAGTAGCAGTAGCAGTAGCAGTAGCAGTAGCAGTAGCAGTAGCAGTAGCGGCGGCGGTGGCGGCGGCGGCGGCGGTGGCGGTGGCGGTGGCGGTGGCGGTAGCGGTAGTAGTAGTAGTAGCAGCAGCAGCAGCAGCAATCCTTGGCTTGCTTGTTCAATCCTTGAAGCACCGGGTCCAACCACGGACCTTAAGTAGCAAAGAGTATTAATTATTTTTTTTGTCGTCATCATCATCATCATCATCATCACCACCATCATCGTTATCATCATCATTATCATTATTATTATTATTATTATTATTATTATTATTATTATTATTTTTATTGATAGGCTCCTGCATTACAAACGTTTTTTCATCCGGAAAACATGTGAAACTGGCGGGTACGCTGTTGATTTTAACCGGTTTGGTGAAAATAACTGCACAAACAAATGCACCCAGCTTTTTCCAGAGAATGTATAACTAATAGTTATCCTGTATCTTCACAGTGGCAAAAACTTTATTTTACTCAATGGGAGAACGGCTCTCTCCTTACTGCAAAGCGATTGTACTGAAAACGCGAGAAGCCGCACGTGATTTCGAAGAGTCCCTCCCACGTTGCTCGTTCCTCGCACGCCTAATCTGTTCCCTCGTGCCATATTTTCCCTTTTCTAACTCATTTCATGCAGGCTACTCCTGATGAACTCGCACGTTCGAGTGAGCACGTAGGTTGGAATTAAGATTGTAAACGCAGTGACACTGTAAGGAAGAGAGAAATATGAAGGGTGACGTCATCGGCGAGCCTCTAAGCCAGTTTTTCCTTGGTACACAATATTTTCCTTTTCGAGTACATGACAATCCAGAAGAACGATTGTGACGTGTGTAGGAAGCGTAACTCAGGTAAACAAAATACTTGAACTTAGGAAGCTGTAAGCTTGACCTTTGTAGCTCAATGCTTTCATTAAGCTTCTCGTCACCTGATTCTATCATAGCGTGCCGTCAACACAATTCACTTGGACCCGTTAATCACTTCTGTAAGAATTAATTTATTTGTGTAAACAAGATATCACGGGTGTGGGGTGACACGGCTTGCTGGGTCAGCACTGCCCTTGGCAGATCAGACATTTAGATTTAGAATGATCGGGTCATTTCTTGTCTCTGGCCAATTTAGTCCCCCGGAGGTACTCCCTTTAGGGCGCTCCTCACTCTTGTTTTGATGAGTCGCTTTTTATCAGAAGCCGAAAGGCTACTGAGTTTATAGAATAGAAGAGGTATATCTAAAATTGTTGTTCTTGTCAGTTGCTAAACTTGAAATATTTCGACTCTACCTTATAATACAATCAACTTTCCTATAAATGGACACCTCCATAATAGAGATTACCACCCCGCTCCCCCTCTCAAAAAAAAAAAAAAAAAAAACGAATAGACTGGGTACCTGCCACTCTCCCCCTCGAGTTCTTTCAATGACACCTATCTCAGCTGTATGGATACTGTATAGTGTAAGCAACCCTTTCACTCTTACTGCCTGCTGTTTACATGGACGGAGGAGAATCCTAGCACCTGGAAGATGTTAGTAGGCGGATCATCCTAGCGCCAAATGTTTCCTGTATTCAGTTTACATGCAGAGGGTTGCACTTGTGATTAGTGCTAGAGTCTTCCTAGCTGAGTGGCATGAAGATCCTAGAACTAGGGATAAACCAGACAAAAATGGCAGCGGGTCGTCCGGTGGATAACCACGGCACTAGAGCCGACAATTTGCGTTTGGCGCCACCAGTGGTAAAGAACTGCCATCTGCTACTGAAAGGTAGTTCATAAAACGCTAGTGAAGATAGCTGGTAAAGAATTAGCCTCATTAAAGAAGGGTTGTCCGCATTGCATATATGATGTTGTCGTCCACCTTCTTTAATTCAATTCCATCTCTACTTGTTATTCACACAGACTAAAATTTCTGCATGTAGACTCAACGAAATGTTGCGCCTTCTAGGATCCTCTTCCCTCCATGTTAACAGCCCCTTAGGACTCTTCCACACCAATCTCGTTCCCAGGGTTCTCTCCCACCCGTCCCTACGGAGCGACGGGTAGGAGAGGGAAACTAGGAAAGAGATTGCTTCCACACCTATCCGGACAGTTTTGAAAGCGGAGGATTTTTACTCCGTTTTCGAAAAAATACGCGTCCACACGTAGCGTATTCGAATCCTTCTCGCTCGTCAACACAAAAACGCAAAACGAATGGCGGGGAAACACGGTAGCATTCGTTACAATCGGAGCGCCTTATGACCTAGGGCTTTATCGTATTTCAAAACCTCCTTTTTCGTTTGTCCACACGAAAACGATATGCTGGCGATTTTAAAAAACCAAAATATCCCGAAAACGCTGTTTACGTGTAGACGGAAGGCTACAGTGGAGGGAAAAAATCTCTGTTTCCAAAAATATCCGTATTCGTGTGGAGGGGGGCTTATGAAGCCTCAGAAAAATCAGTCTGCAAAGCAGCTCATTCGTGTACCTTAAATGTCTTGTCTTTAACTGGAGATTTCTCGTGCAAGTATTGGGAACCGTAAATTTTCTATGATCTATTTTGTTGTTAGCTCGCTGCTGTCATTAAACATGTTAAAGTTCATTATGATTTGTGTGTCACATTATGTAAGGAAATCAAAGACAGTCTTGGATTCTGGATTCTACGCCGTGGATTCAAGATTCCAGGTATTGAATTTCCGATTCCTTGTCAGTGGAACTTGGATTTCGGATTTCAATCGTTAGCGGGATTCCGGATTTCTTGAGCTGAATTCCGGATTCCCAAGTCCAGGATTTCCAATTCTACAAAAACAAATACTACGGTTAAATTTGGATTCCACAAGCAAAATTTCCCAGGTTCCTGAATTTCACATTACCTTACATGGAGTGATGTGTACCTTAAATGTCTTGTCTTTACTTGGAGAATTTTCATGCCAGTATCACGCACTGAAAGGTTTAGAACATAAAATTTGGCTTAAGTTCACAAGTTTTTCGACAAAATTCATGTTGGAAGAGTTCTTGATGTGCTCTTTCGTGCGTTGAGGTTTTCTAAAGCGTCTTTAAATGCCCCGCCCTGACATCTTCATTCATGACATTTTTTAATTTTCTTCGCCATCTTGGCACCACCGGGACGTACGGAACGTTGCCATGGCAAATTATGTAATTTCACGAGTGAAATTTTAAATTAACGCTGAAATTTCGTCCTGCTGCGTAAGCTCCCTATTATCATTGTGACGATACGTGTTGGTCCCCGCTCACTGGGTTGTCATGGTTACCTCCTGTGCTGCCTTGCGGCTCCCTCCTTTTGACCAGGTACCTTCCCCAAACCCATCTGCTGGCGAGGGGTTTAATCAAGGACTAGCTACGTCATATTTGCTTCCTCTTAAAGATTTTTGCTAAAATTTTCAAGTTTGTCTTTCCCATCCCCACTTATATTCTCAACCATCCTTTATTATTATACTGCCTAAAAACTCTGTGCATGAATTTTTTTGTTTTCCTTGCAAGTCCGTTTGCAAGATTTCTTTTTTCAAATGAATTTATATACATATAAATAAAGTTATTATAAATTGTACTCACTACATGCCTTCTCATTGGCTAAGATCCTACAGTTAATGTTATTTGAAAATCAGCGCAACCTACAGATTAGTTAATTCTCTGCTAGCAGATAACTGACCTGTCTGCAGTTTGCGCGCAATGCATGATTTCCAAGAGCAATGTCAAACTATGTTGCGTGCGACGGTGTGCTGTTATTTTCTTCAAAACAATGTGTGATTAGTTTAGCTTTTTGTGATATCTGGAATAATCAAGGTCTCGGTAAGCGTTATCAGCCTTAACCTTCGGCTCTGTTGGTAACACCCCGACCTTTGATTATTCCGGATATCACAAAATCCCATTTAAAAGGTGTTCAATATATATAGTTTATCCAACTCGTAAACATGACCATATTTGGAAATATGATTAAAACTTGCATGAGTGCATGCTTTACGATTGACCAGGTGTGTACTTAAACTTGACTTTGCCCATGCCTGGAGAGGAAAATCTACGAATGTCTACATTATGCCGAATAGCTTGTATGTCCACGTGAAAAGCTATCCGTTTATCCGTTATAGAAGGAACAAAAAGAACGGGAACAAGTCGTCCACACGGAGGAGTTGAAGGCTCGTACCCAGTCGCTATTTATGTGTTTTTGGGGTGAGAGAAGATTGCAGATTGGGGAGAAGGTTGAGGCGCGCGGGGACAAATAAATAGTGACTGGGTACTAGTCTGGGGCAGTTGGCGAAGAGGGTTTGGCGACTAAATCCCAATCCTCACTTCCGCTTATATTTACTTCCGTCTTTCTGGGTTCCAGTCCTCCCTCCTACTCTTTTATTTTCGCCACGGTTCGAATACCCGTTACCCGTTCACACTGCGACGAAGAGTTGCACAGAAACCAATCCGATATGATACGATTCACTTTCTAGATTGGTGTGATGAATTTGGAGAAAAGTTTCCTTTGCTGTTTCAAAGGCACATTCCTGAATGGGGAAAATTGGTTTTGAACGCTTTTTCTTTCACTAAGTCTTTTGGCTTGCCGGAGACCCATGACACGGTTGTGACGTCATCCAAAAATCACCGCCATATTGGCCACTACTTTGACACTTTTTGGAATAGAATTAAACGAGTTTTTGGTGCTTTTATGCTTCTCATGACATTTGACGAAACGATGTCAAATGATTTCTCCTGGAATATGTAAAAGGAAACCCCAGTTACCTAGGGAGAGAGTCTGATGAAAGATTAAAAAATGTCCTGGAATCAAAAATTTTCAGCGCCCTGGGAGAAGTGGTTTGTTAATCAAATATTGACTTTCCCAAGGTTCGAGGAGAAGATGTTTTAGGATGGTTGAGGCATCGGAGAGATCAGCAATCACATTAAACAGCTCGTTTTCCTCAGGTTTAATACAACATAAGTCATTACAAATCTGAAGGTTACACCAGAAACTAAACATTGTATCGCACAGCGCGCTGGGATCAAGTAGAAGCAGTTAGTTTCAACAAGCCTACTTAGTGACGTATAACGGATGGACCATTAGGAAAGCAGAGGGGATGGGTGGGATTTTTGGGAGGTCTATGAAGGTGTTCTCTCTACCCTTGGGGTGGAAATCTGTTTGTCCTGCTCGAACAGCTTTTTTGATCATGGTGCGAGGGGATATTTTTTTTCTTAATAATTTACTTGGGAGTTTTGTTTTTTTCTTTTGGCGTTTGCCTCCCCCCAACCTCCAATCTTTTTTTTCTAATGGTGACATCCCTTAATTAAAGCAGCTTCTTTAAATAACTGAGGGATGGCTAAAAAATAGGTCATATTCTCGATAGACTCATGATAGCTTGAAAGATTGCTGTGGTTTCCTAACGCCAAACCTCAGAACGTTGCTGTATATGTGTTTCTGGAACTGATCTATTCGATTAAAAGCCCAACTTTTACAACCTAGCACAATTACAACAGAACATCATTAAGTTATTGGAGCGCCCAAAATCTTAATCTAATCTGATCCACTGTTTGGATATTTAAGTTAACATCAATTATTGCTGTTAGATCGCTAACGCAATAGTACACGAAAGGTTATTAACGAGAACTGATCTGTTTCATTAAAAGCCTTACTTTTACAAGCACTACATTACAGAAAAACATTAAGTTATTGGGGCTTCCAAATCTGATCTGATCCACTGTTTGGATTTAAAGTTGACATGGATTTGAAGCTGTGGGCCATTAACACAGTAATAAGGAACAAGATTAAGAGTTAACCCTAGTTTAGTGGCAGAACAAATAGTCTACGAGTGCAGAGATAGAGGCGGATTCAGCTCTACAAGGAAGTGGTGGTGAGAAAATAGAGAAGGAAAATAAATCTTGTTTTCGGTTGAAAATTAGATTTCGGGCTCTTCGTCCCGTTAGTGTAGCCGTGGCTGATTTAAAAACGCTTTTTTTAACGAGTATTAATTAGAGAGATTTAGAATTATGTTAACGGCAAAGCGTGGATTTGTACCACGTGACCAAGTGTTCCCTTTACTTCTCGTTTGCTGTTAATTAAATCTACAAAAAATTGTAAGTTAAAATTGATAAGTGTAGCCGTGGCTAATATAAAGCTCCACAGTATGCAGTATTCCCTTTGATTTACAACGTTTTTTGGATGTTATTAATTAGAGAGATTTAGAGTTACGTTTACGGCAAACCATGGATTTGTACCACGTGACTAAGTGTTCCCTTTACTTCTCGAACTTTCTCGTTTGCTGTTTAATAAATCTACAAAAAATTGTGAGTTTCACGTTAGTTTTATCCATAAGAATTTCTTTGAGCTGTTTTCATTTTATCTGCATATTTTCTATTCTGAGAAATTCTCAACTTGAATCTGTAGACGTTTGCCTTTTGCTGTTAGCGTGACTATAAATCTCTCTATTTAATATCTTCTGACAAAAAATGGCTAAAACGAAAACACGCTTTTTTACCAAACGCCTCATTGAGGACAGCTATTAAATAACGCACTTCTTTCTTTGGGGAAATCCAGATATATATACATGCTGCTTCAGCAGTTGTGTTGACATCAAACTTTCAGCGCATCCCTTTAAAGAAAGTAACAATTAATACATTAATTAATCTTTCATTTCAAAACAAAATAAAGGTCAAAGCGTTAAATGTTAGGATGCCATGGATGATGATCATCTAACATGTTAGACATATTTGTTCGTTTTGAAGCTATGAACTTCTCTAGTGCTAGTCCTGTAGAAAACCGAAGGAAACTTATTCCCTATGTATATCTTTTATCCACACCTGACCTAAACTATTTAACAATTGAGAACATTAAGCAAGGCCTAATGTTCAACTGATTTTTGAAATGTGCTGGTAGCCCGTTAGGAATATAGCATTTACTGAGTGAATCCATAATAATTTAACACTTACCACCCAACCCATCCTTACTTTGTACATATTTTTATTCTTTTTATTATCAAGTCTGTCATTTTCCTCCTATCTGAATTTGACAAGAATGGTTCTGGCTTTTCTTTTTAAGCCTTCTGTTACTAGAACAGCAAGAAAAAAAATCTCCACTTACGACTTGCTCAATGACTCTTTTTCCAATTCAATCTTAACGTCATCGCCTATCAGAACAAAAGGAGCCCAGTACTTTGGAGCAGAATAATCCTGGGAGTCTCGAAGACATTTCATGGCCCTCTGAAGAGCAACACTTGCACTTTCTCCACTTCCAAGTTGTTGGTAGAAAGATTTCATAAACATCATTGTGGCTTCGTCATCAATTGCCCAGAGTGATGCCAGCACGGAACGAGCACCAGCAAACAAGAAAGCACGTGCCATACCGACCACACCCTCAGAAGAGACCTCTCCTTGACCACTGTGGCAGCAACTTAGCACAACGAGTCTCGCTCTCAGCTTTACAGCTTGTATGTCAGACATTTTCATAATGCAGTCCTCCTCCGTAGGAGTGTCGGATTCCCGTCGGGGGTCTGGAGCCAAAACAATTTCTCCGGTTTCCGGCCTTCCGTGGGCTGCAATGTGAACCAAAGACACTGACTTGATTCTCTGAAGCACGGCTTCTTTGGTTGCGTCTTCACCTGTTAATGGTTTACTCTTTAGAATTTCTCCAATCATCTCCACTTCCTTTTTTGCCCACTCCAGCTGAACATAAATGGGCTGGCCACATTTATACGCAAGTTTCTTCAAACATGGATCTCCGACAAGAAGGGCTCCACTTTTACTGTGGTATTCACGTGGAGAATTTGTGATGAGTTTCAAACTTGTCAGTGAGGGAACGATACGGATCCTTAACGATTCTTTTAAGGCTGCCCAGGGAACTAAGCACAAAGCACCATCGGGGACTACAATTAGTTCGTTACCATCAAGCAAGTCTTCAATGTGACCAATAACTGCATCGTATAATGGCCGTAAAAAGTCGGCGGTCTCCTGTGATGGTTCCGATGTTTGATCGTCGTCTCGAGTGCTTGAAGTTGAGTCATCACTCAGCTTATCCATTGACCGATTTTCGCACCTAATACCGACGCCAGCCCTAATGTTTTTCAAAACAGTGTCTAAAAGGAGAGTAAAGGAATCTTCGTGTTCATGTCCGATTTCTATTTCCGCTTGCCTAAAAATAGAGTTGCTCTCTTTTCCCAACACCCACATATTGATTGTTTTCTCTTGCAGGGCAAGAAAAACTGTTAAAACAGTTGTCTCCCTTGAAATATTTCTGACTTCTTCTTCAGATTCATTTGAACTGGGAGAAAGTGATGTAAGGCCATAAGTCACTTTTAAGGCATCGAGCAAAGCCTGTGCCCGTCCCCACTCAGCAGCGTATAAAGCCTCATCATTCCTTCGAAGCAGTATTAAAACGTGCCATAAATGAGAAAAGACACATTGATGTTTCGTACAGAAACTTACTTTCAATTGATCTTCCGAGATAGAATTGGCTCTAATAGTGTCATAGATGTTAACACAGCATCTAAAATGTTCTAAAGCCTCATTTAAAGAATGTGATGCCCAAAAGGAGTGACCCAGACCTGCATGTGCACAGGCTTCTGCTATCCTGTCACCGATTTCCTCGGCAATGCTCAGGTGTTGCTTGTAACACTCCATTGCTTCCTTCAAGTCGTTGAGATCTCTGTAACAACTTCCGAGGCTGCAATAGGCACTTCCTTGTCCATCCCTGTCACCGATTTTCTTGGCATTGCTCAGGCATTGCTTGTAGAACTCCATTGCTCGTGGCACGTCGCCGAGGGAATAATGAACGTCGCCGATGTTTAAATAGGCGTGTTCTTTTCCTTTTCTGTCACCGACTTCCTTGGCAATGCTCAGTTGTTTCTCGTGGCACTCCATTGCTCGTCTGAATTCATCAAGGCTGTGATAAGTAGCGCCGAGAGTGCCATAGGCGTTGCCTTCCCCTGCCCTGTTACCAACTTCCCTGGCAATGATGAGGTATTTATTAGTGTACTCTATTGCTCGTTGGTATTCGCCGAGAACTAAATAAATATTGCCGAGAATGCCATAGCCTTGCCCTTGCCGTGCCCTATCACCAACTTCCTTGGCAATGATGAGGTATTTTGTATTGTACTCAATCGCTTTTTGGAATTCATTAAGGCTGAAATAAGCAAGACCGAGATTGGCATAGGCTTCTCCTTGCCCTGCCCTGTCACCAACTTCCTTGGCAAAGCTGAGGTATTTATTGTTGTACTCTATTACTCTTTGGAATTCATTAAGGCTGTCATAAGCAAGGCCGAGATTGGCATAGGCTTCGCCTTCACCTGCCCTGTCACCAACTTCCTTGGCAATGCTGAGGTGTTGATTGTGGTACTCTATTGCTTGTGGGAATTCTTCAAGGCTGTGATAAGCAAGGCCGAGATAGGCAGAGGCACATCCTTCACCTTCCCTGTCACCAACTTCCTTTGCAATGATGAGGTATTTATTTTTGTACTCTATTGCTCTTTGGAATTCATTAAGGCTGTCATAAGCAAGGCCGAGATTGGCATAGGCTCTGCCTTCACATGCCCTGTTACCAATTTCCTTGGCAATGCTGAGGTGTTGATTGTGGTACTCTATTGCTCTTTGGAATTCACTAAGGCTGTCATAAGCAAGGCCAAGATTGGCATAGGCTTTGCCTTGCCCTGCCCTGTCACCAACGTCCTTGGCAATGCTGAGGTATTTATTGTTGTACTCTATTACTCTTTGGAATTCTTCAAGGCTGTAATAAGCATGGCTGAGATTGGAATAGGCTTTGCCTTCACATTCCCTGTCACCAACTTCCTTGGCAATCCCTAGGTGTTGATTGTGGTACTCTATTGCTCTTTGGGAGTCACCGAGGGATTTGTAAGCACAGCCGAGATTGCCATAAGCACATCCTTCACCTGCCCTGTCACCAACTTCCTTGGCAATGCTGACGTCTTGATTGTCGTACTCTATTGCTCTCTGGAATTCTTCAAGGCTGTAATAAGCAAGGCCGAGTTTGGAATAGGCTTTGCGTTCACATGCCCTGTCACCAACTTCCTTGGCAATCCTGAGGTGTTGATTGTGGTACTCTATTGCTCTATGGGAGTCACCGAGGGATTGGTAAGCACAGCCGAGATTGCCATAGGCACATCCTGCTGATCCTGCTCTGTTCCCGACTTCCTCAGCAATGCTCAGGTATTGCTCGAGGTATTCTATTGCTCGATGGAAGTCCTCGAGGAAGTAATAAGCTCTGCCTAGATTGTAGTAGGCTTCTGCTTTCTCTTCCGTGTTTTTATTGATTTGCGCTATTGTAAGACGCTTGTTTTGTTCAGCTATATCTTGTAGTATTTTTTCTGCCATTTCCAAGTTTTAGTCTTCAAAGAGGAACTGTTTCTTGGCAGTAAGGTCTCTTTGAGGAGCATCGAGGTGGAGAAAAAAAAAATTTTCATTAATACATTTGAAGTCTTAGAATTCACTGTATGTTCCCATTAGACAGATAAGACATGACAGAACTTTCCACTCCTTTCTCTCTAGATTTACTCCAACTGACGCTTCTCTGGAATTTTTTGACAATTTCTGAATATTGGTGTAATAAGATAATATTTCTGGACTCCCCGCGCACAATTACTTCGAAGTAAACATATAATTCCTGTCACAAACATCGCCGAGCTTGTATAGTATGTGCTACCCCCACACAGCAATGACATTACCAAGCCTCGTGCGCTGAATACGTTTCTAGATGGACTTGCAGAGTTAAGAGTCGATAAAGGTTTAATCAAGAACAAAAAGTTGCTAAGCGATTTAATAGAAAAAGAAAAAGGCTACGCTAAATGCAAACAATACTTCTGATAACGAGTGTGATAATAACTAGTAATAGTTGACACTACAGCTGCCCCCGTTCTGTATATTGTCGGTCAATAGTATTCTTCCTGGTTGTGTAGCTCTTTGAAATATACCGATATCATAATGAAGATTTTCACACATATTCCATACAATAGGTGAGATAAATACAGGAAACGGAAGGTACCATGCACAGTTTCAGCTCGATTAACACAGCTTTGATGAAAACATTCTCAGTTTCGAGAATAGTTTATTCTAAACCATAAGAAAAGATTTAATTAGAAGTTGAATTTTTCGCTATTTCTCTTTCGCTTTTTACATTCAGTTCATTTTATTTGCCGGAAAGTAAGCCTTAGAAATTAAAAGGACGTTTGATCGATTCACGCTCGCGCATTCTAGTCTTATTTGAAACTTCATAACGGAAGGACATCTTTGAGCAGGGAAAAAGTCAGCACAGAATTTGATTGACGGCGAATTTCTGTAATTGTCCATCAATCTGCTAGTTATCAGCTAGCCGTTGTTCACTCGTCTTGCTTGTTTGGGGCTGAGTCTTATTCCGGTCAAAGAGAGAAAGAGTGTCTGGCAAGGTTTTCAATATAAATCAAAGATTTGTGAACTCGTGTTTGGCAAACTCTCCAAGTGTTTATATATACACAGTTAAACGCACCTTATAACCTCATCTGCGTTTAACGAGAGTCTTTTGGTCCATAACTTTCAAGACAACTGCTCCACAGAATGTCACTGCGTAACGCAAAAGAGTATCGAAGAATGACTGCACAATAAATGTCACAAAATCTACATGAGCGTCCTTTCGGGATTTTCTGTCTTTACGTCATCCTAACCATTTCGTACTTGCTGGCGCAAACAATAGAAACGTCATCATTACCTACCGATTCCTCGCGGCCCCTGTTCGAGCAAATCGAGATTTTTTCTAGTATACCGACTGTATATTTGAACTGAAAGTACTGTCCTTAACATACGCGCGAGTTACTAGGGTGCCTCCTCGGGATTTCGCCCTGCGGGGGCAATAAGAGTTCATTGGATATTTAAAATTAGGAGGGGAAGGATGAGAAGGAGGAGGAGGAGGAAGTGGCTTCTGAGAATGGTGTTGAAGTTGACTCCCAAGAGAGCTACACTGAAAACGACCACAATCAGGAAACAGAAAGTAGTAGCCTTGAAACGTCTACCACCTTTCACCCTGAAAATCCCTGTGAACTTTGTGACAATTCTAAAGTGTACGGAAATTGATCATGAAATGTCCTAACTGCTTTTAGCACGATTACGACAAGATTTGTCCGATATGATTGTGGAGAAATTACACACAAAAAAGTGAAGACGTTGGAAACCAATTTTTATCGTCCATCTAAAGAGGAGAACGAAGAAGAGGATTAATTTTTCATTCTTTCAAACCGCTGTGTATTTGACTCTTTTTGTCATTGGTTTTTAATAAAGTTATTAAAACGGTATCTCGTGTCTGGTTTTATTGTGAGCGTTTATTAGTCGCGTGTTTTAATTGATCCTTCTTACGTTTTTTATTGTTTTGTGTTTTTTTAATAATAAGTCAAAGTTCAAAAAATGAGTCCGCTGCCCGGCGACAATAAAATTACATGCAAATTTCAGAGAGACCACAAACTAGCAAACCACAACAAATTTTAAATTGTTTACCTTACATAGAGCAGAAATAAAAGCGATTTAATTTATAAATAATAATTTCCTGAAAACCTTTCTGCATGGCAGTACAGTTCACATAGTCCCAACGAACATTGAAAAATTTAAAAGGTAGCTGTTTGAGGAAAGATGTCTTGACTAGATAAGTTCGTGACCTCAATTTCTTATTAATCGATGCAAGACTTAGTTCCACAAATTTACGCACAAAGCAGGTCTTTCTTCGTTAGCTATTGCAATAACAATGAAAATTATTATAAATATGTGACGTCTACAACATGAGAGATCCACATTTAACACAAATTATCCTGAGTATTCGGCGTTGCTTGTGTGAGGAGGGGTAGGGTTGGGGGTTTGGAGGTGGGGGAAGGGTGGAAAGGAAGTGGAAGAGAGTAGCGGATAAGGGAGACAACGAAGGGAGAGAAACACAAATCGGTCAAAACGATATTCTAGTCGGACGTTTTTCTCGACATGGAATAAACATACTTTGCTTCGCGGTCACAAACCGGCCTAAACTTATTATTAATTATTTCTAAGTAAAAAAGAGAGGGAAAAAACCTTCAGCAGGAAATCAAAATAAACTTTGCACAAATATCTGTATAGAAAAATTCCAAATTAAAGGATATTATTTCTTACCTGAACGATTTGATATCTGTGAATTTCAACAGAGTTTTGAAGTGTTCTCCAGTGGTTGGATTTAAATGCAGAGGACTATCAAATATATAGGGTGGCCGATAGAAACAAAAAAAACCACAAGAAAACAACAAAAACAACAAACGTAGGAGAGAACAAACCCAAAATAGAAACACATAGGACAAAATTGGAAACCCAAAACAGAAAAACGCTACCAGAAAACAGAAACACAAAAACCAAACGGAAATAAGCATCCCAAAGCGGAAACACACATAAAAATACAAAATTAAACCGCAAAACTGAAACAGAATTTAAAAATACAAACCATAGCCACAAAAGACAAAAACAGAAACAAGTAAATAGCGTAAAACTATAGTTTCTCATGTGTCATCGTCTTTTTTTAAAACAGGCGTTTTTTAAGGAGAGCATGATCGCAGGCTATTATTATCTGAGAACATCAAACTGTAAATCAAAGCTGGCGTTAAAATACAGAGATTGACTCGACTGAACATCAGTTGCTCAAGATTTAATACGCCCGACATTAAAGAAGCGTATCTTAAGGGCTACCCTCCCAGCTCTAATAATGCAGCAGTTCAGAATAAACTGGGCCACGGGGCCTAATTGGCTATTCACGCGATGACTTGTTTTTGCTACTAAAGAAATTCATTTCATTTTTTCTTTCATATTTGAATTTGGTAATCCCACTGAGGTTTAAACAACAAAAGCCCTAACTTGCACAAGAAAGCAATACCCTGAAGGAATCTGGTATAGTAAAGTGACGCCATCGTGCAAACGACCCTTTTTAGAATCCTTCAGAGTTTGGCTTTCTCATGCATATTAAGGCTTCTGAATTTACCGAATTAAATGTGAAAGAAATGAAAAAATGAAATGATTCTGGTCATATTTGTAAATTGACACTATCGTGAAAAGCCCCGTCCACACAAACCCAGATATTTTTGAGTGTTGAAACCGCATTTATATACACCTTTCACATGAATCGGCATTCCGTTTGGTATTCCGTCCACGCGCGAAACCAGTGAATCCTCTCACCGAAACATTAGGCTGATTTATCAACAGAACGGGAACATCAGTTGACGACGGGAAAGCGCTCGGAAAGGACTGAACGCGACTTCCGGTGCTCAATTTGCTGCTGTGCCAATGGTCAAGCCAGCCAGCTGTTTGACTTGCGCGCGTCATCGTCAACTGACGTTGCCGTTCTATTGCTAAATCAGCCTACTATCTTTTTGAAACCGCTCTCCGGAGTGGTTTAAGGCCCCGTCTATACGAATCCAGGTAGAAAGTTATGCAGTAAAAATTAGTCTGGATTGGCGTGTGCTCGTGGCCTAAAACAGTTCAAGGTAGCTTTTGCTGAATCCAGTCTAGAATGTCCTTGTAAACCACGCTCGCAGTTTCTTCCACCTCATTCAAAAGTTCTTGGTGTCCATTTTCGTACATCTGCAAAGCTAGCCTGCGCGCAGACGAAATTAAACTCTGGTACTAATCAGAGTTTAGTTATTGTCTGCACGCAGGCTACTGCAAAGCAAGTTGTGTTAATAATGAAATAATAGTAGGTCGATTTAGAAATGATAACGCGACAAAAAATCGACTAAAGTGGGAAAACAACAACAATAGTGGTCGCCATATCATTCTTTAGACTCCCGTTTGGAGACAAGAATATGATGTAGGATAAAAGCATTTCCTTTTTCGTGATCATTTTATAAATTCTCTGAACCTTTTCTCTTAAAAATATGTTGAAATTGTTACGAGAAAATTGATATTGGTCACTCTTGTGCCTAAAAGGGTTAACACAAATCACAACTGTTGTTGGGATAAGTTCATAATGATTAGAACATCCTCGGAGACCCAGGGGCAGCTAGTCGGGACGATAGAATCATCCCGACTACAATACTCGTCACAAATCGTTGAAACAGACACCGTTTCTCTTGAGTTTTCTGGAAAATTCTTTACCGTACTGATTTTTACTCCTCACACTTTTGTTCTCACTGAAATGTGCCCTCTCCCTCCCCAATGTTGAGCCACGCGTATTTTGAAGCACTGAGACCACTGTAATACCCAAATCAACATTGGGGAAGTTAAGTGTTTCAAGATTTTTGACGAGGATTGTAGCGGCCCCTGGGTCTCCGAGGATGCGCTTAGAACGAAGCGGCCAAAACTCCTACCCAACTTCGTTTACAGGTTCTCTCTACTTGTAGGAAAGAACC